GGACGCTCCACGTGCCAATTCCCATACCTAAATTCAGGCTTTCCAACAAGAAAGTTGGTGGCATGTCTTACCTATACGAGAATCTGAGATGTTTACGATGGCAATGGAGGAAGATCGCAATCTATCTGATAAACTCAAGATTAGGGCACTGTTCACCCGAAGATACCCCGTCGCTTTGCTATCACGTATCGAGACTCGATGATCTCCATTCATGGCTCACCCGGGGGATTCTGTGATGAGATAGCCCGACAGACAATGTCAGGAATTGCGCTCTGACCCTGGACCCCTTACTACCCCAACTCAGGAAAACATTTTCAAGATTAATCAGGGATTGGAAATAGTGGTGGGGTGACTAAAAAAGTGCCTACGAAAGTGAGAGACGTGGGGAGGGTTGCAAAGCCCTAGAGGCGGCTCCATTGCCAATAGGTTTCTCGACAAGCTCACAAAGTAACCGCGTAACGGTCGCTTGCGCTGGTAGTACGTTTGAAGTTGGAAGCTGGGAGATGGCCGCCTGTCATTACATCAAACGTGAAGACTGGGAGCCATTTGCACCATGAAATCCGACCAGGATATACTGATGAAGCCGCTGCCAAAGGTGGAGCCCATGCACACATTGCGCTATCTTCTTAGAACATCATCGCTGACCCATTGATCCAAGCAGTCTCCTGGGACAGGCAGTTCGACTACGGTTCTCTCTGTCTTGCACGCTGAGGAGGTCCTTGATAGACAGCTCCATACGCCTGTGTCACAAATCGGTTTCTTCGGTATCTATCGATATGCGACTGGATGGGATGTCACCATTCTCTTCGGCAGTGCACTTGCTGCCATCACAGGCGGCGCAGCACTACCTCTCTTCACAGTAAATAATGCCTCGACTTGAAGTAATTGCCGGATCTTAATCACAAAGGCTAATCGACTATGCTAGGTCCTGTTCGGCAGGTTGACATCGACCTTTCAAGACATCGCTACCCATCGAATTACCTACGATAACTTCCATCACGAGCTGACCACGAATGTGGTCTATTTTATCTACCTTGGTGCTGCTGAGTTCGTCGCGATCTATCTAGCGACCGTGGGCTTTATCTACACTGGCGACCATGTCGTGCAGCAGATTCGTGTGAAGTACTTCCAGGCTATCTTGAGACAGAATATTGCATTCTTCGATACTCTTGGTGCCGGGGAGATCACAACAAGGATCACCGCCGATACGAATTTGATTCAAGACGGTATTTCCGAAAAGGTGGGCCTGGCATTGACCGGGCTTTCGACGTTCGTTACGGCGTTCATCATCGCCTATATAAAGAACTGGAAGCTGGCGTTAATCTGTAGTGCCAGCTTACTCGCATTGCTTTTGACCATGGGCGGTTGTTCTACCCTCATGCTCATCTTCAACAAGAAGGCATTGGAATGTCAGGGTCGTGGTGCCAGCATGGCGGAGGACATCCTCGACTCCATTCGGACCGTCGCAGCGTTCAATGCCCAGGAAACACTGGCACGGAAATACGAATCGCATCTCAAGGATGCCGAAGGACCCGGAATGAAATCAAAAGTGATCTTCGCCATCATGGTTGGGGCATTACTTTGCATCATGTATCTCAATTATGGGCTTGGGTTCTGGATGGGATCTCGCTTCCTCGTCGAAGGAATCAGTAACATTAAAGCCGGTGATGTGCTGACCATTATGATGGCCATCATCCTAGGTTCCTACAATCTAGGGAATGTGGCCCCCAATGGACAAGCGCTGTCGAACGCTGTGGCCGCGGCATCGAAGCTGTATAGCACCATTGATCGTCAATCCCCCTTAGATGCGCTGTCCGACCAGGGCAAGACGCTGGAGTTTGTCCGAGGGAATATTGTACTCCAGAACATCCGACACGTTTATCCCTCGCGGCCCGAGGTCACTGTTGCCCATGACCTTAGTTGTTATATCCCCGCCGGCAAGACGACTGCCTTCGTGGGTCCCTCGGGGTCTGGCAAAAGTACGATCATCAGCTTGCTTGAGCGGTTTTATGACCCGGTCGCGGGGACTATCATGCTTGACGGCCATGATATTCAGACATTGAACCTCCGATGGCTGCGACAGCAAATGTCGCTTGTCTCCCAGGAGCCGAGACTATTTGCCACTACAATCGCGGAGAATATTCGTTACGGCATCATTGGTTCTCGATTCGAAAAGGAATCGACGTATGAGATTCGAAAGCGAGTCGAGGCAGCGGCTCGAATGGCAAATGCACACGACTTCATTATGGCGCTTCCGAATGGCTATGATACAAATATCGAGAGCTTCTCACTCTCTGGGGGTCAGAAGCAGCGTATCGCTATTGCGAGAGCCATCATAAAGGACCCTAAGATCCTGCTCTTAGACGAAGCAACATCTGCCTTGGATACGAAATCTGAAAAGCTGGTTCAGGCGGCGCTTGACAAGGCATCAAAGGGTAGAACGACCATTGTCATCGCTCACCGGCTCTCTACAATCCAGAAGGCATACAACATCATTGTTCTTGCCAATGGTCAGATTGTTGAGCAAGGGCCGCATGAGCATTTGATGGATTGTCGGGGGATTTACTATGATATGGTAGAAGCGCAGCAGATCAAGAAGCGGTACTCGAGATACTCTAAGAGATATTCCCAGTTATTGACGAATTTGCCCCCTAAACATAACCCAATGACATTCTTCTTCGATAAAGATTACCCAGGCGATAACCACTCCGATCTACACAGCGTACTGAGTGATGATGCATCCGATGTTGGATTGCATACTGGGGAGAAACAGCGGCCAGTGTCGAGGATGTCACTATCTCATCTCATGCAGCCGGCCAAGGAAGAGGCTTATTCTTTCTGGACTTTGTTCAAATTTCTTGCCTCTTTCAACCGGCCCGAGTGGCCATATTTATTACTAGGTCTCTGCGCATCCATCCTGGCCGGAGGGATTCAACCATCGCAGGCTGTGCTGTTTGCGAAGGCTGTCAGCACCCTCAGCTTACCTCCCTTTGAATATCCGAAGTTACGGCATGATGCCAACTTCTGGTGCCTCATGTTTCTCATGATTGGCATTGTATCGCTTGTTTTGTATGGCGTGCAAGGAACATTATTTGCATATAGCTCCGAAAAGATGGTTTACCGGGCCCGTAGTCGAGCATTTCGCGTGATGCTGCACCAGGATATCTCTTTCTTCGATCGACAGGAAAACACGACAGGCGTATTAACAGCCACGTTGAGTGCCGGAACCAAAGAACTCACTGGTATTAGTGGCGTCACGTTGGGAACCATCTTAATTGTGTCTGTCAATCTTGTCGCTTCGTTGGGGGTAGCCCTTGTAATAGGCTGGAAGTTAGCATTGGTGTGCATCTCCGCGGTTCCAGCCCTGCTGATGTGTGGATTTGTTCGTGTTTGGATGTTGGAGAGGTTCCAACGAAGGGCAAAGAAGGCATATCAAGAATCGGCTAGTTCTGCCTGTGAGGCAGCCTCTGCCATTCGTACGGTCGTTTCCCTAACCAAGGAGATGGAGGCTTTGCAATCCTATCAAGCACAGCTCCGTCGGCAGCTCAAGAGTGATATACTCCCCATTGTTAAATCATCCCTACTCTATGCCAGCTCGCAGGCGTTGCCTTTCTTCTGCATGGCGTTGGGATTTTGGTATGGCGGGTCTCTACTTGGTCATGGGGAGTATTCGCTGTTTCAATTCTACGTGTGCTTCAGCGAAGTGATCTTTGGGGCCCAAGCCGCTGGAACGGTTTTCTCTCATGCCCCGGACATGGGAAAGGCGAAGCACGCTGCGCGTGAGTTTAAACGGCTGTTCAGCAGCGACACAATGCATGCTTCTCGGGGCAAAGGGATTCCAGCTACGTCCATGCGGGGGCTGGTTGAGTTCCGCAATGTCTCCTTTCGATATCCTAGTCGCTTGGAACAACCAATTCTTCGCCACTTGAACCTGACCATCAAGCCAGGGCAATTTGTTGCACTAGTAGGCGCCAGTGGAAGTGGCAAGAGCACTGCCATTGCGTTGCTGGAGAGATTCTACGATCCTCTCAAAGGTGGCGTCTACGTAGATGGAAAGAATATCATCACGCTAGAGATGTCTTCCTATCGCAGTCACTTGGCTCTCATTAGTCAAGAACCTACTTTGTTCCAAGGGACTATCCGAGAGAACATCCTCCTAGGGAGCAACACACCTGATGTCACAGACGATCTCCTCATTAAAGCCTGCAAGGATGCAAACATATACGATTTCATATTGTCATTGCCGTAAGATATTCCTCACTATTCCTTTCGGTACAGAGTTGAAGGTATACTAACAGTTTCCAGGCAAGGCTTCAGCACCATTGTCGGCAATAAAGGAGGTATGCTCTCTGGTGGACAAAAGCAGCGTATTGCCATCGCTCGGGCTCTTATTCGGAATCCGAAGATCCTCCTGTTAGATGAGGCTACATCTGCACTAGATTCCGAGTCGGAAAAGGTCGTCCAGGCGGCATTAGATGCCGCCGCGCGGGGACGCACAACAATCGCAGTTGCTCACCGACTGAGCACCATCCAACGAGCAGACTTGATATATGTCCTAGATCAAGGGGATGTCGTTGAATCAGGTACGCACCGGGAACTTCTCCGGAAGAAGGGACACTACTACGAACTCGTCCATCTACAGAATCCGGATGCCACGGGTACGAGGTAGGGATATTGAGACTTTCACGCTCCATGTAACAAGGGCAGGATTCCATATTGTTATTCATTCTTATTGATTCATTTTGGCGGCGTTTAGGAGCTCAACTTTTTGTCTTTCTCATTTTGTTCTTGTCACTGTCACCTCCTTTAGGATAATGGCTTAATCTGAATCGTAAATTTTCTATATAGTGCGATGCGTTAGTGTTTTAAAACGAGTATGGTTCAAAATCCTAAGTGATCCCTCCAGCTTCCAGTGCGATACTACACTTCGTGTCTTTACACCAAGAGCCTTTCTAAGCAGTTATTTCGTATTTCATACATTGTACCATTCTTGGATATTATTTATAAGAATGGGTGTAATATATGAATTCCATTGTCAGGCTATATGGAGTCAGTCTCAGCACTTACAATGCAGACTTCAAAGAGTCCTTTCCTCTGCCATTCGTCTCAATGCCCGGATAGTTCCTTGCACGGAGGATATGGCAATACTCATATGTTCATCTTTAGCCTTTTGTGCCTCACTCGTCCCGGGCTCGATATCAGCCAATTTCCATTCGTAGGTAAAAGTAAGGTAGAGGTTCTGGTCATGTCCGATCGATACGATATTTTCCACTGCTGACCCTCCCGGGAGTGTGAAATAAGTCTACTAGCTGATTAGACCATGACAGGTGATAAATAGAATGGACTGTGAGAATTTTGGCCTCGTACCCGGACCGGTGCATGTAATTGGCATTCTTCTCTGGTCCATTTCCCAGCCATCGGGGATTCGCGAAGATTGGCCGCAACATGAGCTTCTCTTACGATATAGGTCCCATCATCCCGTTCCTCGAGAATTCGGGAATCATCCAAAGATGGGATAAAATCTTGCGGGCGCCGGGCTTTCAGTTTTAACCCGTTCCAGACTTGCTCTTGGGTAAGGACTGGTATGGACGGATCGGAGCTATTGTTCACTGGCTCCGTGTAGGCGATATTGAGGGTGAGCATTATCAGTGTTCAGGCTGCATATAAACTCCCAAGGCGTTGAGAAGAGAGTATCTGACTGAGAGTAGATCAGCATGCAACCATTAGTACTATTTATCAGTTCTACAGGTTAGGCACGGAGGCTGCAGCAACTCGGCCTCCGACAACAGCCGAATACCGAGTGGGTGGAGAGTGTGAATAGACATGAGTCAAGGGACTGCTTTTTCTGCTTGCTTTAATAACTCTGGATTGGTTGCCAAGGTGAAAAAAATATGAAACTACCACTAACTAGTTAAGCTATACTGACAATCATATCGCAAGCTGCCCCGTAATGGGCAAAGGGGCGAAAAATAGGACCGCCCTTGGGACAAGGTCCCACATACATCATGGACCGTGCCTCTTCTTTTAAAGCCATTCGGATGGCCCCGGAAATATTATCCAGGCCTCGTGTTCCCCAGCCATGAGGTCTGCAAACGGCGAAGATTATTCTGTCAATCCTTGGGCACACAAGCAACTTACCATTAGTTGTTGAATTAAGCTATCGTTCAAGTGAACCCTTTTTAATTATTATCGTAATTTATGTCATAGGTACGTGCCCACCACCTTTTTTGATTGCGCCGTCTTTCGCTTGGCTTGTCTGTTATTTAAGCTTTAAGCCCTTCGTAACTGTACTGAGCACTCTTTCAGTAGCAACAGTTCAACTACGTGGCTAGTAACGACAAGATGAGCTAGGGAAGTGACTAGGCACTGCTACTCTCTTCATACTTGCTTCTGTCGGCTATGTCTTGACCGTAAGGCTTGGCCACCTATAACCACAAATGAGTCCGATTGCATTTATTCCTGTCCATGTTGTCTTCGAATGGGTGGGATGGTGGCAATGAACAAAAGTCAACGTGCTTCCCAGAATATTCGATAGTTTGAGTCAGCATGTAGAGTTTTTATTCCTTGATAACAACTGTAGTTAAGAAGCGTGTTATTCAGGATAGAGGCGACAGTAAACCGTGTCTCAATATGATACAGTCCTCGGAAATATTCTGCGCATTGAATGGTAGAGAATAGGCGATCAGACCGCCAGTGATGACATGACCACTCCTGTTCATGAGCTTCTTATCAAGCATCTTATGAAATGATCTGATGGTGACGTGGGGACGGTTGACCCATGAGCTCAACCATGGTTTAAGACAGCTCTTGTTGGGGAACCACCATTGGTTCGTGTATGTCCACTACTATGCTTCCTAGATGATCGAAAACAGTTATATACCGCCTATGGTACGGTAAATGTGAGTTCAAAGGAAATAATCCAACTTTAACGTTTTTAGCTATACTCTCTACCTTCACAATGGCAGGTTCTACCGCTATCACACCAATCCGAACCAGCACTACTCAGTATAATCAAGACTGCATACTTCAACCCACACTCCTCCAAAACCCCATTGAGGGAAGAAACGCCCATAATAGGATGCAAAAGTTGCCAGCTTTAACTTTTGGCAAGAAACCAGTGAGACAAATCGTCGATCTTCGCCAGCAGGACAGGAAGACTGTGTCATTTTGGCCTTGCGCAAGCTCGTACCGTGGCGGGCATATTCCTTCCTGCGAGTTTAAATCCAATGAGTCCCTACGGTCAAAACGCGATATTGAAATAAAGCGAAATTTTGAGCGTTGGGTGCGCCAACAAGCAGAATGCCTTTCAGACGCGCACGCCACATCTCATCAATCAATAAGTTCTTCAATTACAAATAGTATTCCGAGTCCAGACGAGAGAACCAATAAGGCCAACACGTTGTCCACAGTGTGTCTACCTGAACCATTTCCGCAACGATTTCCACAGCGCTATGAGGTCGCCGAACCCATGGTGATAGTTCAGTTGATCTCAAACACGCTCGGAAGGCTCACATTCTTCAATGATATGGCATTCCGCACCAGATTTACTGTTACACGCTTTCACTCAAATAGGGCGCCCCAGATTTCTGCCTGTGAGTACCTCAGACGCTTAACGCATCGGCTGTGTCTCTCGTCTCCAATACTAGTGATGATGGTTATCTATATAAGACAACTCTGCAAAACACACCCCACATTCGATGTATCGAGCCTTACAGCGCATAGGCTTCTTCTTAGCTGTGCCTTAGTAGCCAGCAAGAGTGTAAGTGACTTTGCGTGGCCCAACCAATCTTTTGCTTCCGCGGGTGGAGTTTCTGCGGCAGAGATGGCAATTTTAGAATTGGAGCTACTGAAATATTTGGAATGGGGTGTTGCGCCACGTCAGGAACAGCTGTCAGAATGTTATCTTGATCTCGTCCTAGGAAGTAATGGATACTTCGCAGAGCATGAGACGAGCGCAGCTGAACCTTACACTGTCCAATTTGAACGTGATTGTATATAAAGAGAATTAGCAAATCTCGTTAACCACATCAGCAGGATAGCTGACCATTAGCGAACTTCTTGCGCGTTAAGTAGGCTTCTCTATTCAAGAGAGTAATAACATGCTATCTCTGACATCGTGGGTAGTAGATTGCCCACTCCGGCGAACAGAAGCATTCCGATCTATGGCAGGTTTGATTACGCAGAGCTTTCCAAGCAAACAGAAAATACATCAGGCCCCGTCTCTGTGGCATTGTATGGATGCGTCAGTTCGGCCGAAAGTCAGTTATGCATCGATGGATTGGTAATTTAGTATGTGCTATGAGAATCAAGAATGGTACATGTAAGTCCCTCTGCCAAATATGTGTTGATGACCAACCACGGATGTTTTACAACTATTCAGCTTCCCCTGTATAAAGGAATCAAGATAGCATGATAGCTGTATCTCCTGTGTTATCGGTAACCCCACGGCCCCCTGTTTTTGCCTACGTCTGGCTCTCTATCTAAGTCAATGCATGATCAGTATGCAAGGTCATCAGAGTCTTCGAGCAACCAGGGTTAAGATAGTTGAGCCCAGAGAGCAGACGTAGAACGACAGTTAGCCTATTCACGGAAGCTATGTATGGTTAATTTCCTTGACATTCTCTCCATAGGCTCTCCGGGACTCCTCCTTACTTTGATCTCCATGCACGGTGTTTTGACAGGAGAGTGACATGTTGGCCCACTGCTGTTAAGTTCAACCGACAAATGCAGGTTTCACGTTCCCATCCTCCGTCCGCCTGGCCTCCTGCGTTTCGTATGGTCGAGTGCTAAACTAAAGTATGTACCTTTACAGGCTGTCCGCGTAAGCGAGCGGGCGAATGAGCTATAAACGGGTACCATTTCCGTGTGAGGAAAGCCGAGCTGCAAGGGGGATTGGAAGACTCAAAACGTCTTCCCATCAGTCGATCAAAATATAAGCAAAAAAGCCTAGTTCTTCAATAGTCAAGCACGTGCCAAACTGAGATCGGAGATCCAGTTAGCCACAATCCATGCATGACTTGCGCAAACAGGGGAAGTGACAGAGGATCCCCGAAGCAAAATCCCCAGAGATTACGTGCACGTTTCCAAGAACATACCCGCTTTTGAAGCTTTGGGTTTATATTAAACACTGGATCAATGCAGGAGCAGCAACTGCTGGTATTTCGGGCTATTTGGGCCTCCTCTGTCCATGTCAAAAGGGACTCGACCACGGGGCGGATATATTATCCCTTGCTTGGCTAAGGGACCAAAGCGTCGGAATGCACAACAATATTATGACCCTAATACCCTTGAAGTAGACCAGGGAAAATATGCAGATATTTTCCATTATATATACCAAAGTCCTCTCAATGCGTGTAGGCAAATCTTCGGCGACCATTTTCCTCTGCCTTGAGATGAAACCTAGCCTCACATTTGGCAGCGCCTTTAACCACACATGGCGAAAGTCCTGCGCCTAGCATCACCATTCAAAACGCCAATCAAGGCGAAGAAGGGTGTAGACAATGTCAATGCTGTAGACGAAGTACCAGACTCTGCAGCTTCGGTACGTGTTTCATTTTCATAGCTCAACACCATTAATCTTTGCTTCAACTCAGAATGCACCAAAGGTCCGGTTTGATCCTCATCTAATCTGGTTGACTCTTGAAGGGTAGCGTTACAGAGGTGAGAGATGTCTCAAGTTCCTCCAAGCGGCCGGCATCCGGTATCTCAGCAATTCGACCCGTGAGGCCAGAAGATAAATTCCACACTCCCGAGCGCCAGTGTCAGACCTTCTATGCGCAAGAAAAGCCAGAAATGTCGGGAGCAAGATGCGGAGATTTCAGGGACCCTGGGCCAATCTGTCGGACAGCTCATTCAGAGGAGACATCTCCATTAGTTCGCAAAGCCTTGAGACAGCGTACTCCCCTTGATCGCGGGCTCATTTCCAAAGTCAAGAGAAAGCTCCAATTTGCGGTTGGCCCAAGTAGTAAGAAACGATTCTTGGCATCCAAAAAGGCAGTGAGGCGTAAGTCGTCTGCAACAAGGACCACGAATTGGTGGAACATGTGAACTGGCATGTCTGGCTCTTGATTGTACTTTATAGCATCCGAACCTCTACAATTAGTTTAATGTTGCAGTGATACCCACAAAGTCTGGAAGCTTCAGATTCCTAGAACGTGTTATGTCCCGAGTGCTGGAGAGGTTCCATATTCTTATTTTTTGTCCCCGTCATATATGAGGTTTATTTCCTGTACGTACTGCGTTGCGAGCCTGAATAACTACTAAAGTTTCTCCCAGCTCATGACTTAAAATGAACCTGAAAATGACACACAGAAGGAAAGTCAGAGAGGTAACCGAGGAAACAATGCCTTGCCGTCATCAGCAACACGATATCACATTCTCCACTGGGACGTCAATCAGATATGGCACAAAGTTTCGTAATTGAGTTGGAGCTGACTCGTTCTTGTCGTGTCATCCAGTCACAGTCCGGAATATCCCCCGAATCAATGCCAGTGTCGAAACTTAAAGCATATTCAGACGATCATCACCTCCCGATTCTATACTAGGAAGGTGTCCGATCGACATTGATACAGCCTGGAGAAAGTTTATTAGGTTTGCTTTGCAGCGCCAGAAAGGTCAGAGCCCCTTGGGAGCCTCGTACACTCCAATACCGAACTATAAAGGCTCCATCGATTCTAGGGATGAATCGAACGACGCAAGGGATAGACATCCGCGGAGATAGGGTTTCTCCTCAAGTATTTAGATAGCTTCAGGCAAACTCGCTTTCAGCTCAACCAATGAGTGGACAGGCATAAAGTTGGTGCTGCGCACTCAGAACAGGCGGATAGTTTGGTGGCAATCAGCTCTGTGCGCGACTCTCTCGACTGAGCTTAGAGTCAGGTTTTCACTCCCCAAACTATGCACCATTAGCGAGCTGAAAGCCACCCAAGGAAGAGTCCATTAAGGCAGTACTTTCCGAGTTTCAGGGATGATTCCTCGAATTCTTGTTCGCTGAAAAGGCCTCTAGGGTTCATTCATGGTGTCGCCTCCCCTGCTTTGTGAAGTTGAGTGGCGTTTTCTGAATAAGATTCGGCACTCCAGCAAATGATGATGGATAATATGCTTTTGTTTGTGTTATCCTAGTTTGATGACACCTTTCTATATGGCGCTCGCACAGTTTTATCCCACAAGAAGTTTGAGCGCCAATCCGAGCTCGGCAAAGCTTTCCCGCGTATATCCCTCTCTTTCTACTAGCAGGAACTGCTACAATCGTCCCTAGGCCAGTCGATCATACGTTACCTCTTCCTCGTCCAGGAACCATAAACTTATCTTCATTCAGTACAAGAGGCGAGTACTAATGCCACTTAGGAAAGCGTACGGGGCATGTCCGATCGAACAACTGCGGGGTTTCGCTGGGGAGACCGAAGTGGAGACGATGGAACCGACATACGCAATGTGTTGAAAAGAGCGATTATTCCTTGCGACACTTCACGCATCGCTTGCCGCTTGATAGATACGGCATCAGCTAAGTGGCAGTACAGAGGGCTCTGAAATGGAGAGTAACAACCCATCCTGGTTCTTGTATGGGCCTGGGGAAGCACGTCTACAGTCACTCCCCGTACCGGAGATTCAGGATCCCCACGATGTCATCGTCCGCATTGCCTACGTTGGAGTCTGTGGAAGTGATGTAAGATATCGAAGCCTAGGCTCCTACAATAACACTGTTACTCATAGAAATCCCTCTTGCTCACCCACTATTGGCTAGGTACATTTCTGGAAACACGGCGGAGTCAACAAGAAGGTCAGCAAGGAACAACCGCTAGTGCTAGGCCACGAAGCTGCTGGAACCATTCATACGGTCGGAACTGCCGTCAAGTCCGTTCAAGTCGGTGATCCCGTTGCCATTGAACCTGGTATCCCATGCCGGCGCTGCAAGGCTTGCAAACATGGCACCTATAATATTTGTCGAGAGATGAGGTTTGCGGCCGTACCACCAGATGTGCACGGTACCTTGACGAAGTATTACCGGGTACCAGAAGACTTTGTCTATAGGATACCATCGGGAATGAGCCTTCAAGAAGCGGTAATCATGGAACCGCTCTCTGTGGCAGTGCATTCTACTCGTCTGGTCAACATCACTCCCGGCCAAACCATTGTGATCATGGGTTCCGGGTCGGTCGGTCTTCTGTGCGGCGCAGTCGCGAAGGCATTCGGCGCTGACCGAGTTATTCTGGTCGACATCCTGGAACACAAGCTGTCATTTGGATCCGAGTTCCTCGATTGCGAAACCTTCCTTACCAGCTTGGACGAAACGCCAGAGGAGAGTGCGACTCGTTTGTTAGATATGCTGGATACCCCAGATGGCGTCGATGCTGTGATTGAAGCTTCCGGTGGTGAAGGTCCAGTCCAAATCGGCATATATGCCTTACGGCGCGGTGGTAGTTACGTTCAAGCCGGCGTTGGGAAGCCAAAGGCAGAGATCCCAATCTTGGCCCTGTCCCAGAAAGAACTCCACGTCCATGGATGCTTTCGGTACGGACCTGGAGACTATGACCTCGCTCTAAAGTTGATCACCAAGGGATCCATTGATGTTAAACGCCTAATCACCAGTGTGACGCCCTTCGAACACGCGCCGCAGGCTTGGGACAAGACGGGCCGGGGTGAAGGAATTAAAAACCTGATTCAAGGTGTGCAAGACTAGCGAGTATTCTCCACCTGTCCGGCATAGAAATAGAGTAAAGATCCACATCAATCGCATAGCCCTTTTAGATCCAATGTCACGGGTTGTAGCTTGGCGTAAACGACGTCGAGTTTACACCTTCATTCGATCAATGCTGAATATAGACCGCATTGGGGTTTTACGCTCTCGACCTGAGTACGACAATACTAATAGTTTGGATGGGCCAAAAGAACACACAGCTTTGTCTAATAACATCAACACACTTTTAAGCATAAGTCTTCTGCAACGCTTTCTTATTGCCCAAGGAGCTACCATATCTTCGAGTATAGGCTGGTGTAGCTGGTAAATCGTCGTAATTTCGAACCCACCGTTTCTGATCGTGTATACTTTATAGCGTATATTAATACCAGTTGTCAAAGCATCTCATGGAGTAATCATCCTATGTCCATTTAGAATGTAGAACTGCTACTTGACTCTGAATCTCTGATCCATCCATTTTCATATCACAGTCCAATAGCGCTAAGCCACATTAGGATGTAATAAATCACGTGCAGTTTATTCTGCATAGCGACTATGCAAACTAGTCAAACAAACAACCCAGTGTTAAAGACGACGCCTTATATTTCTAGCAAATCTCACGATTTGTCTTATTAGTGGACCTGATGAAGCAGTACGGAGTAACCTGACCACATATAAGATGCTCGTCGCAGAGAATACAGGGTCGCTGTGGTGGAGAGAGTGTATGTGTGTGTTTTTGTAGCCCCCAGTCTCGGTTAGTTTTCGGCTTGAGTTCGGTTCATCACCGACTCGCGATCCAATATGAATTCATTACTTCTTGAACAATGATATTTCTGGGTAGCAATATCTAGAAATCTCCCATAAATACGTAATTAGTATCGTAGAGTGAGGCCCTGCCTTATGTTACATTTAGAGGGTGGGTAATGGATCTGTTGCACTCTATCACGTCACGACTCCATTCATGTTCGGCTAAAAAATATATATATTTCTGGTAAGGCTCAGGTGGTGCTTGGAGACTTGCCAAGGGCGAACGAAGTTGAACATAGACCAAAGAGTTCAAGAAAAACACTAAGAATCTTATGCTAGGCTACTTAATTTTTGATGATTTTTGTAGAAAATTGAATGTTGCCCTGATTATCTCGATGCTGGGAAATAGCTAGGACACGGAGAATCAATGGGGTTCAACTAGGGTTCAACATTATCACTGACTAATCTCAGGCTAGACGCCAAACAGCGACGCAAGATGAGATCCCCTTCTGTGACATCGAATATTATATAGCCATACAATATGACAAAGATCACACTAATAAGTGAAAGTTATTTAGCAAGCTAACACACTCCAAATAGGTAGCGCATCCAACAACAGCCTGCATCTTTCATGGCAGAGCGATGCTAGAATAGCTTCTTCGGACGCGTCGCGTACCTCCCCAATAACAATGTCGCACATGATAATTCCTTCCTACAATATCGACGATTAGCAAGGGATATCTGCTGCCCGATTGATTGCTTAGTATCATTACCAGCCTAACGTGGCCATACGAGAGTGGCCATACGAGCGATGCCGACCGCAAAAGATTTCGGTTGCCCCGTTCTAATGGACGAAGGCGCGCCACTGAAGGACATGGAAGTGCGACGCAAACAAGTGGATCACAGCGAATAGGAAGAAGGAGCTAAAGGTGTGGGCCGCATACTTAGCAATGAGGCCAACGCTGGTAGTTCGCAGGCTCTCGACACACATCTCGAAGGGTACACGGGGACAGGCAAGGAACAACATAACAGGGAAGGATGTATGGAACGGACTCAATTGTACCCTGGAGAGATATCCATATCCTTGACTGACTTATGAGTTGGTTCCGGTACTGACATCATGAAGACACCCCAGTAACTATGATGCTGTTATGGCCGGTGGGGATCACAATGGGATGATCGGGTTTGGAAAAAGAGAAATCTCTATCCTCGGAATTGTCTAGCGGGACCTGGCTGGGGACACGGGCTGCTGTTTGCTTCTCAAGGAACTCATGGGATGCCCGTTATGCTGGTGTGAATCAGGCTCTAAACTATGAGTATTCAATGCCAATATATACCGAGGTCTGCTAAGATGAATACATTGAAACCAGAACCTAAGCATAGTTTTATGAGGAGTCACCCTAAGACTCACTGGATAGGTAGGTAGGACATGAACCTCTCGCAGTGGCCACGATTTCCAACCCGCGCCTGAGAGGCGACGCACAGACAAGGGTGAAGGAAGAATACCCCGGGTTGAAGTAATCCCCTCCACAGAGCGTACGCAACCAGTCTTTTAAAGCTTATTAGTATGAGTAACACTCCGTATTTCATGCTCTGCGTCGAATCGACAAAGGCTGTGCAGACATCTTCCGCGCTACTATGGTTCGTGTCCAATCAAACCGTTACCTTCCTCCAAGAGGAAGCATCCGTCTTGAATCCTTGATCCCATTAGATTTCTCGTACATTTTCGTACATTCAAAGTGTCCGGATGTTTTCCGATAAAAAGGACATGCCAAGTCGGACTCATCCTAAACCTCGTGATGGCTTGACCACTTCCCCAGACTCTACACGGTCTGGGGAAGTGGAGACCGTTAGAGTGAAATCTGGGGTTTAGCAACCACGACCCCCGCTTGTTATTGACAGCATTGTGTATATAAAGCAAGCATGCTCCTCAATTCGAGACTAACTTAGCTCCCTAAACACCCTTCACAGTTACTTAATAGACTGAGGAAGTTCATACTGCGAAAGATGACGAAAGATTTAGGGTCAAAAACAGAGGTGGAGGATCTCAAAGATTCGCCCCGGCGTGATCCTCTTCTAGAACTGTTTCCAATTCTCCAGGATAAAACCCCCGAAGAGTTGGAACAACTCAATCGTTCTGTGGTACGAAAGCTGGACTGGCAATTTCTGCCTTGCATTACAATGATTCTTCTTATGAGGTGAGTACATCGTTCGTCTCCCTTATTGAGGGGGAAAATAGAACCAAGCATGCTAAATGTGTATGATTCTCAACCAGCTATCTTGATCGTATCAATGTCTCCAATGCCCGTCTTGCCGGCATGCAAAGTGACCTCCACATGTCAGATACTGTGTGGTCTGCGGGAATCTCTCTTTTCTACGTTGGCTATATCATTTCACAGGTGCCAGCAAATGTTATCATCGCGAAGGGGAAGCCAAGTATTCTCTTCCCCTGCATCGCGCTAGTCTGGTCCGCGGTCACTATCTGTATGCCGGCTCTGACCACCGGCTGGGGATTTTGTCTCTGTCGCTTCTTGGTTGGTGTGGCTGAGGGTCCTTTCGTCCCGGCCGTTTCCCTGCTCACCTCATCATGGTATACCAAGCAAGAATCACCCTTGCGGATGGGAATCTGGCACGCGGGTAATATTATCTCGAACGTTTTTTCTGGCCTTCTCGCCGCAGCCATTCTCACAAACATGGATGGAATAGCGAAACTTCGGGCCTGGCAGTGGTTCATCCTTCTGGAGGGGATCGTGAGTATCATGGTCGCGTTGAGTGGCTTTTGGTTCATCCCAAACTTTCCCAACAACACTGGTCGCCGGTGGTTCACTGAGGAAGAAACCGCCATGGCACAATATCGACAAGTGGTTTCAGGGGGTGGAACCCGGGAAGATGAGGAAGGAGATTACTGGGGCGGAGTGCTGCTCGCAGTTAAAGATCCTTTTACGTGGTGCTTCGCTGGTATCCATTTTTCGCTTATCATTGCCCAGTCGTTCAAAGATTTCTTTCCATCGGTAAGTCCAAGCCATGCATAAAACGACCTAAATAGGCCTGCTGACACACACGAAGATCGTTGAGACTCTCAACTTCTCCGAAGTTGTGACCTATCTTGTACAGGCCCCACCGTATGTGATTGCCTATATCACCACGCTCGTCGTTTCCTGGTCATCTGGAAAGACTGGGGACCATTGTTGGCATATTGTCGCACCAATACTCGTCTCTCTAGTGGGAGCGGTTCTCATGATATCAACATTGGACCGGGGTGCTCGATATTTCAGCTTGATCTTACTGTGCACGGGGCCGTTCGTTGGTTTGAATGTGAGCACTCCTTACCCCCGAAGGTCAGAGAACCGATTGGGCTAATTTACTAGATCCAAATATCCTGGGAAACCACTGTTGTACCACGTCCACGGACGAAACGAGCAGCTTTGATAGCCATCGCCAACTGCGTGTCCTCTGTGTCTCACTGGTTCACGCCGTATTTCTTCCTTCGGTCCCAAGAACCACGATACCAAACAGGCGGAGGTATTATTATTGCCGGATGTGGACTGTCCGTGATCTGCTGTTTGATCACTCGGTGGTGGTGTATGAGGAAGAATAAAAAACTGGACGAGGCCGAGGCTGAAAGTGGAGATGTCACTGAATGGCGGTACGCGACTTAACGTGTTAGATACGGATCTCACTTTGGCACGGGTATAGTATCTTAAATAAATACGTACGAATTCTTATTTATATTAGTTAGCTCTGATAGTCTGTTGTCTCTTGACAGCGTGGAATTTAACTTGCGTCGATTGGACTTCGCATTGAGTTTTATCATCGAAGTATTACCACATAGTACATCTTTTTGAGCCGTAACGAACTAGGGTTAGCTACTCAAAGCCAACAATTTGCCGAGAGGTATTTTATTCAGCTAACAGCGTGTGAAGTGATGGTAGATGGAGATTGAGACCTTGGCGTACGGCATATGTCTTGATTTCCTTCAATCTCCAGTTGCCCCCATGGGGAAACTTGCTGCACTTGGGACATGGGGTCGGATTTCAGACGCCGATCGACGTCTGATAGAGTATGATAACCATAAATTACGACTCATTATGCGGAGGTCCGATAGTTACAAGGGTAGGCTAGTGTTCGGATACAATCCGTCCGACGTTCTGTGTCCGTGAGTCAGTATGTCTTCCATCGGAAATCCTCCGGATACGTAAAAGCAGCAACGCAGAAGTAGGAAATACTTAAGTTGGAAGATGTAAGACTTAGAAGCGTATCTCGACTTGGTTATTTAGCTGCAGATATCTAGACTCAAGCATTTCAGATTCTCTTTACCAGACCATCACATATCATCATCTTCATCATGGGCTCCATCGCACCTCATCCAGCATATACCCTCAATAACCCCTTCCGGACTAGGATTCTAAGTGGTCAAATCACACCGCTTATGTCTATCAAGTTCGTCACTGGCAATGAAATACCTATGATGTGCAAGATGGCTGGTATCCATGCTATGTTCATTGATATGGAACATTCCGCCCTCGACATGCGCACTGTCGCCCAGCTGATTCTCGCCTGCAATTATGCCGGTGTCTCTCCCGTCGTCCGTTCGCCATCTAAGTCACACTGGCACATCAGCCGGATCTTAGACGCCGGTGCTGCGGCTGTTGTGATCCCGCATATCGAGACCGTCCAGGAAGTCAGGGACATTGTGAAGCACGCCAAGTTTGCCCCTCTAGGGACACGTGGATGCACCAACAATCAGGCAGTGTTGAACTTTCAACATGTGCCGACACTCGTGCAGAATGAGATCCTGAATGAGCAGACCATGTTGATCCCCATGATAGAGACTCCAGCAGCAGTTGAGATCGCCGACGAGATTTTCGCAGTTGAGGGAGTCGATGGTGTCTTGGTCGGCTCTAACGATTTGTGTACCGACCTGGGGATTCCCGGAAAGTATGACAGTGACTTGTATCAAGATGCTGTGATCAAGGTGATCCAAGCGGCTAATCGGGCCGGCAAGCCTGTCGGTATCGGGGGTATTGGCGGGCGACTAGACATTCTAGAGAAGTGGTTCAAGATGGGAGCAACCTGGTCATTGAGTGGCCAGGATGCATCTATGCTGCAAGCGGGTCTGAAGCAGATGAGCAAGAACTACACTGATATTAGTGAGCGTTTACAGAAGGAGCCTTAGAGCGTGGAAAACAGTTGTGAACCCGTTGTTTGTTCTATGTACATATTATGCATTGTCATCTGCTATACCCGAGAAAAGAAACATCGGATCTCCATACGCGTATTCCCCCAGTCCTACTTCCACATTCCAGAATGTATTGTCTCCGAATAGATCTCGGGAAAGTAGTGAAGCATAGGTGGAAGGTTCATGATCCAACAGGTTATGTGTACCTAAATCGTTGAGTAGGGGCGGCCAGTGGTTGTTAAACTGTGATTGATTTTGTTGGACAGAATGATGTTCACCTGCCATACTTGGATCATGCAGTATACCACTCAACCCCGGTACTACGTGATAATGGGATTGTGTCTGCCCGAGGTATCCTCCCGTTTGCTGCGTTGTCCTGGACACGACATCGTATTTCCCTAATATATGCACTTGTAAGGCCTCGTAGACAGACACGTAAGGAGTCGCATCCGGCATCTCACGCCCCATCTGTTTCAATGTTTTTTCGCTCTGATTTACCGCCTCTGCCGCTTTCACCATCGTCTCTGCATCATGGTTGCTCGCCACCGATACCCAGAGCATCACCGAGAGCCCGGCAGTGAACAGCATTTGGAAGTAGCTCCGAGTGTAGGTAATCTTTCTTTGCTCAAACAGAGAGCAAAACTTCGTGATAGTGCCCACGGCATACTCAAGACAGATCAAAAGGAGGTCGTCTGGTGGGATATTGTTCCGCTTCGGCACCAGGTCAATGGCCTTGCGGACGAGAAGAAGCCTTTCTCTCATTAACAGTAGATCATACCATTCCTGGGTGTGGTATAAGCCTTGTGGATTAGGGAACGTGGGTGCCGATTGCCGCCACTGCTCGAGCTCCGATAGTAACTCCTCTAGATCTGCATAGATCCGCCCACTCGCTGTGATTGAGTCCATTGTCAATGCATGCCCAACACTGCTGGGGGCCCCACTGCTATGTTGGAACTTGGACCGGATCTTTGAAGTGATTTTCCGCAGCCGCAGGCAATAGAAAAACACCGTCATTTCAGTGTTTCCCGTGGTACTAGGCCTTGTAGTGGCTCTGCAGAAAGCATCCAGATCCGAGAATGATCCAGATGCCTCAGCGGCATCGATTTCTTCGTCATCAGCGTCGGCAGGAAATCCAACCTGGATATCCCTATCCGCAATTGCGGCTGGGCGATCCAATGTGATCGAGCTGTATTGGCTAATCATGTAGCATTCCCAGAAGACCCGACGTTGCAACTGTTCTTGTAGAAGACTAGTTTTGCGTCTCGTAGTCGGTCGAGGTAACTTATAAAGACCTTGCTCGATGCACATCCTCATACATAGTGTGGTCAGCTCCCATATTGATGTCCCTGCAGCGTATTAGCTAGGACCAGTATAGAAGAAGTACTGAACACGTACCGATGTGATGATAGATCCCGAACCTCACGACGAGTAATAGATCCTGAATTGAATCCAATCCTCTTGACAAGATATTGGTATCGATGTACTGCAACGCTGTGAGGAAGTACCCGTAAGGATGGTGTTTATGGACACCAGATCGATATAACATGATCGACCCAACAGCAAGAATCATGAATGTACGAAAGGCGTCGTGCTTTGTTAGATGGTCCGGCGTTTGTGAGGAAGGGCCGGTTCGGCCTGTTGAAAAGGCGGAATGATACAGCCTCTGGACATCTCGGCGGAGCAGGAATGGGTTTAGGACATGGGGTCCATTCAAGCTTTATAAATCCATATTAGTTATCAGTTGATAAACCATAGCCCAGTCACTTACTAGTTATTGAACACTGTCAATGCTTCCTCAGCAGGAGGAAGGGAATTCGGCTGTACCGATGTTTCTAGAATGCCAGAAGGTTGGGATAGATTTTGCAGAAGCTTTAGATTCTGGTCTCTCCACCTGGCATCAGAGAAAAGCAAGCTCATAAAGCTGCGATTCTACGGTCAGAGCTTACACTCAATTTAAGGCCCCAAAGCTTACCTGATCCCGACCCCCTCCGTGATACTGGGCGACGATATCACATCATTACTTTGTATTGCCACCGGGGGTTCCGGTGCTTGATTATCTCTTTCAGGTCGAGTCAGCGTCGGACTGTCCGTCACTCCTGCCGTGGAGTGAGAACGTCCCCTATCCACCTCTCGACCTTCCACAACAGTCATCCCTGTCTGAAGGCCTTGCACATGTTGCTCCAGTTCATATATATACCTATTTTTGAGCATAAGCATAGGTGGATTTGGAGAAGCGTGGTCAGCACTATGTTAGGCTTACTCTCTTGAAACCGGAACAGTTCCACCAAGGTTAACCGTGAAGCATGCATGGCCACTCTTCATACAAGGCATACATTTTGGTCGAGCATTATCGCACTATCTATAATCAGTAATCCCACTCTGCCAAGTCAGACGTTAGTGTAGATCAATGAGAATACCTTTATTTTTTTGGTATAACAGGATTGACAAGCCGGAAGTCGAGGGACATGCCTCCCCCCATTGCCGTTGATCATGCTTGCCACAGGGTGGGCTTAGACAAGATCTACTCCTATCATACCTGTAGGCGTGTATACTTTCAACTGATCGAGTAGACGGACGCACAGATGTACATGCAAGCACTTCCCTTGAGTTGACGACATTCATGCATGCAGCATGGCCACTCGCGGGGAAAGAATGCGGAGCCCCGGCAATTATTGTTACCACTAGTGTGTAAATTAATACAGACAAGGTTGGCTTGGCATAATATTTACCTCCATAGATAAGAAAAGTCACAAATGGAGGCACTGGTTTTCTACTGCATTACACCATCTGGCTAACCCTACATGGCCGCTGAAGTTCTAAGAACACTGGCCAAGCCTACCTAAGTCCTCCAGCCTGGCATAGACTGAATAGGAGCAATCAAAAGATCAATGCTAAGTTGTGGAAGCTCGAGAGGCTCTCCCGATGAAGGCTTGACCACGAGTATCTCGTTGGGTTCGGATGAACCACCGCATTCACACCTCCATATGAGGGTTGCATGATCTTATGACATAGGGTTATGTGTAAATAACAGAACTCTATTGTCGTAATAAAAGTGGGAGCAGTGAAATGTGAATCTATCATCATAGATATATTGTCTTCGGCAATGCATGGAGAGGAAATCTGCCGGAACGGCAAAGAGCGTTGAGGGTAATGTATGGTAATCGGGAAAGATCCGACCAACAACCCTCGGACAGTATCCACTCTCCACTACTTGACTCCTACTTAGCGCTGCTTTACCCCAACACAATGTCCGATAGGATTGTTGCCCTTCCCCGCGACTGTCATTCTGTTATCGGACATGGAGTCTAGTCATCGGACGCCCCCTGCCTCGGCCTCAGCCATTCCACGGAGGCTCCAGGCCTGCGAGAGATGCTGGAAACGCAAGCAAAAGGTCTTGACCGATGATGTTGTACATCCGCCATGTGAGGCTAACACATCATAGTGTGATAGGCAATTGCCGGCATGCACAACCTGTGTGGAAGCTGATGCACAATGTGCCCCCCGACGCGTCCCCATCGGGCCCACTACGGAAGAGGGCAGTGGCCTCTCGCATGCTGCCGTACCAAAGTGAGTGTTGAGTAGTATGGAAGGCTGAACAGAGCTAATGACAGAATCTAGCTATGTGGAAACACTCAAGAGAAAAAGGGACGAGCTAGACGCACAGTTTCGACAGCAAAGGGCACGCCGAGAAAGGGATGACTCGGTTCCACCCCAGCCGTCGCCGAACATGGAGACCACTTCAGTAGGTACCCCAGGAGATTCGAAGCAGACACCCTCAACGGCCCCCACTAGTTTTAGTGAGCGGTCGGTACAGGCGACGATGGGGGAGATCGGATTCCTGTCGCGCAATGCGATGGCAGAGCCACGCGACGAAACTCGTGGGTTCCCTCAAGAACTAGCTATGGGTAGAATGGTGAGAGCTGCCCTGGTTATCTCAGGCGAGGATCCATCACAGTCTCGAGATCTGTGCCATCATCGACGAACTTTCGTCACCATGATGGGGCCTGCGACGGGGATCAGCAAAGAGTTTGCCGCAACTTACCTGAGCCGTTTCTTTGACCATGTTGGAGTGATGTTTCTTCACCTCGACCGGCGTGAGTTACAAGGTGAATTTGACTCCAATTTTGATGTCCGTAGAGGGCAGCCGAGTCATACGAATGGTCCTAATCTAGGGACCGCATTCTTTGAGTTCAGAGTTTACATGGCTGTGGCCATTGGAATGTTACTTTCACCCGAGCCTGGTAGCGAGCTATTGGCGACTGGTTTGCATGCAGTAGCAACGGAGAGACTTGCCACCATTATAGAGCAGGGGGATTGTGTGAAGACCCTACACTGTATGTGGTTGTTGGCTTTGTATTCTATGTTCAGTTCGCTCGGAGGATCCACTTGGCACCTCGTGGGATTGGCAATGAAGAAATGCATCTCATTTAGACTGCACCGGGAGCTGTATCCAGACTCCGACACGAGCCAAGAAGAGCAAAACAGAAGACGCAGCATTTTCTGGGCCTTCTATGTACTTGACAGGTGGGTAGATTACAAAGGGCCCTTTTCTTTTTACTGTTTTGCGCGAGGAGCCTTACTGACGAAGCCGCAGAACTATAAGTTGCGTCATGGACCGCCCGTTTAGTATTGAAGATGAAGACATATTGGTTCAGGTAAAAGCACAATACACGGGGGTTTATTGACAGGTGCTAACGCCGTCAAGCTTCCAGTGTATAACTCTACCTCGAAGACAGTAGCCGAGTTCGACTTTGGCTGCCATATCATCATGCATGCTCGACTACTGTCTAGTGTGCGGAGTTCTTCTTCCCGAGGGCGTCTGTACCATTACCGCAACCTAAGCCACTGGCGAGATCTACCAAAGTCCGTAAAGGAGTTCGCTCCTAGCGATAGTGCCCTCTCCGTCTCAGTCAAGCAGCTCTCCTGCAGGGCGTTAACCCAGATTGCATTATTGACCCGAGGTACACAGTCCAATGGTGGTATAGTAGGACACGCTCGATCTGTTGAACACGATGTTGTGGATGGCTGCCAAGCATATATTAATGATGCATACTACTACTCTGAGCAAGGAAAGCTTGCAGCATCATTCGTTGACGGATTCGATCTTTTCGCGGCGGGTGTACTTGTCATTTGCCTTCCTTCCCTGTCGTCACTTGCAGGGCCTCCACGGGAGTCAGCCACTATTAGCAAATGTACAGCCCTGTTGACAACAATTGGGGAGAGGTTTCCGTCACTCAAGGTGCTCAGGAAACTACTTCTAGCTCTATCGAGTGTAACTGCTCAAGGAGCCTACCACGACCCGGCAAGTTTCCCTCACATTATCTTAACCTTACGATCGTCTAATATGTCCGATATTAGGTTCTAGATGACCTACCGGGAATGATTTCAGATCCGATGCAAGGTCTGATCCAGGACTTTCTCCGGATATGGAGTGCATGATCCGGAAGACGGCCATCGGACGGATTCCGGGCCGATCGATCATATATACCACCATGGATAACCCTATCACCTCTATCTAATAACCAAATCAGTTGGAAGTACTCAGCTATCGAGCATATTGAAACTATGGCTCCCGGAATTACGGAACCCTCCTCCACAGCAGGCCCTTCGACTGCTGAAGTCAAGCCTACCGTCTATGTCCTTGACACCTTCCCTCCTAAGGCCATCGAGTACGCCAAGACCTTGTTCAATATTATTCAACCTCAGGATGAAGAGTTCAAGAACTGGCGGCAAAATGCAAGAGCGCTGTTAGTTCGAAGCTCGTATGTTACGGCTGATGACATCGCAAGCTGCCCGAACTTAATTGCCATCGGCAAGCACGGCGTGGGGATTGACAAGATCAACCAGGATGCCTGCGCACAGCGGGGTATCAAGATCCTCAACACCCCTGGTGCCAATGCGCGTGACGTTGCAGAGCTGGTCGTTGCACTGGTCTTATCGGTCGCAAGGGGAATTCGGTCTATCACATCCCGGCAAATGTTGAAGCCCGTACCGAAGGAGACCTGCAATGGGTTGACTCTGTATCAGAAGACGATCGGTATTATCGGTATGGGGAATATCGGACGCACCGTGGCGGAGATTTTCCGCGGCGGCTTCGACGCGACCATTGTCGCTTATGACGCCTACATGCCTGAGGATGTATGGTCCCATATCCCACATACCAGGGCAAAGAGTGTCGATGAGGTGCTTGTCCAGGCAGATGTGCTCTCTGTCCACGTTCCCCTTACCGCAGAAACTCGAGACATGATTTCCTATCAGCAAATTCGCGCAATGAAGCCCGACGCAATTCTAATCAATGCTGCTCGTGGTGGTATTATCAACGAGGCCGACCTCACCAAGGCGCTATCGGAAGGGTATCTATGGGGCGCAGGGTTGGATTGCCATGAGCAAGAGCCACCGAGCCATGAGAAGTATGAGGCCCTCTGGAAGAATTTGAATGTCATTAGCACACCACACATTGGCGCTGCCACCTCAAGAGCGCAACTGGCCAGTGCCACGGCAGCAGTGGATAACCTGTATCAGTATCTGTCAAGACTGTGATTGTAAATAGGTGATTAATATGGATGTGATGAACTTAGAAATCAATTTATTGATATTTATATTCTATATCTTGGCTTGTTTCACCTTCTTCGATACAGGAACTCCCCTACAGTGCCATCGCACATATAGCACGTTGCCTTTGATACTATCTGTGATAAATAATGTTTTCCCATCCGGGCCACCAAAGGTACAGTTTGTCAGATTCTTTCCACCGTCTGGCGCTGTTACAATCCTGGCCTTGGGAATCCCGTCCGCATCCACGACAAATACCGAACCGAGACTGGGATGGCAGATAAAGACATTCCCCTCTTCATCCACGGCAAGTCCATCAGGACCCGCACATCCAAAGGACTGAAAAAAGACACCGACTTTGGTGGTAGACCCATCGGCATGGAGAGGAAGTCGCCAGACGGCATTGGACCGAGTCATGGCTACGTACAAAAACCGCTCATCGGGTGAGAGAGCTAGGCCATTCGGGGAAATTCCGTTGGAGACCAAGCAGTCGAGCTTGCCCGTGGGCGAAAGCCGATAGACGCATCCAGTCTGATCGGTCATTCCCGTTTGACCCTGATCGGTAAAATAGATGTCGTTGGTGGAGGAGACAATCAAATCGTTAGGGCCTTTGAACCTCTCGAGGTTACGCCGAGTAAGCAGTGGGGATATTGTATTTGTAGAAGGGTCAAACAGAAGAATTCCCTATTCCGACCAATTAACTAACAAATCCTTACAAGCGATACATTCAATGTAGGCCACATACTTGCTTATAATCAGCAATTACGATGCAGCCATCCTCTCGCACCACAAGGCCATTCGGCTCGCCATCCCATCGCACGCACTCCGTTACCTGCTTTTCCCCATCCACTTTGAGAATTCGGCCATAGGGCACATCTACTATGTAGAGACTCCCATCGGCAACGTAAGTGGGACCTTCGAGGAAAATGTCAGAGGCCGGAAGAGCTGACCCGCCGCGCCACTCAGTGGGCTGGCCGGTGCATCTGAGGGAGTCGGGAATGCGGACATAGATCTCGGCTTGGATCACTGGGGGAACTGGATAGAAGTTCATTTTCGACGGACAGCCTAAGCTACATTGGCTATATGCGGAGGGGTATATCGAAGTCTATATATGAACCTTGAAATCGGAAAAACTCTGTTTACCCCATGGGGCCGTGAGGCCGGTGGAGCGTCGGATATTTTCCGATGCCCGTGTGACCGGTCAGAGTATGGAAGTTGAAACCCTAACATCCTTATAAGTGTAAACAGACTAGTACAAAGTCTCATTACCTTGAATTGCTGTACCCCTAAATAGAGGGTGGGAAGCATATCTCTACATTCTCTCCATTATAGGTTATAGATTTCTTCCCAAGATCCTCACGCCATGGGACTTATCTCGGATGCAAAAAGGGCTATGCAAGATGCCCCAAAGGAAGTTTTCAATGCCTATGTTTTGATGTGTACATGCTTCTTCGCCCTTTCCGGCGTGTCGAAAGGGTTTGATGAAGGTGAGCAATGATCCCTGCCAAGTATGGAAGTTTCCCACTTGCTTTAATATTAATTCATGGGCCTATCACAGGAAACATTGCCTCGGTCGTTACGCAAGCTCATTTTAGGGCCCGATTTGGTGTCGATACACAGTCAGAGGAAGAGTATGCCAATACAAAAGGATGGCTAGTATCTATAGCCACGGCTGGAGCGGTCTTTGGATGTCTTGGGGTGAGTTGTTTTTGCTGCAATTCGACAGATGAATCAACCATATTTATGCAACTCCTTATATAGTGCTCCCCCATTAATGATCGATTTGGTCGACGTTGGACGCTCCGCATTGCTACAGTCATCTATATTGCTGGCGTCTTGGGCCAAGGGCTTTGTGGCGGAAACATTTCCGGGCTTTATGCATCCAGATTCATTGCAGGGTTGGGAATTGGCCCGTTGTCAATTGTTCCTCCAGTTTATATTACTGAGGTATGTCACGCCCAACTGTGCTTTTGCTATGGTGACACATGCTCACTCAGCTTTAATAGATCTCGCCCAAAGCAATTCGTGGTCTTCTTACAGTTCTGTTCGCGGCTTGCCAGCAGCTAGGTGTAGTGCTGGGCTTCTTCATCAACTACGGAGTGACTAAACAGTACCCGGGCGTTGACGAGCAATGGATGCTCCCCACTCTCCTTCAGATTGTCCCAGCTGTGGTGTGGGGATTCGGAACTTTCTTGTGCTCGGAGTCTCCTCGATGGCTTCTTTACAATGGCCAACGAGAGCAAGCAGCAGATACCCTGTCTAGGCTTCGCCACTTGCCTCGCGATCATTCTGTGATCCTGTCCGAACTAGCCGGTATGGATGCTCAAATATTGCATGAAACCGAAGCAGTCAGTAACGCGACCGTATGGGACCTGCTGAAGGAGACTTTTGTGCCCGTCGAGAACCGCCGTCGCTTCTTCTTAATCTTTATGGCCACGCTTTTCTCTCAGTGGTCTGGAGCCAATGCCATAACCCAATATTCTCCTACTATATTCGGATACTTGGGCATCAACGGAGATGAAGCCAAATTTCTGGCAACCGGAATCTATGGCGTGGTCAAGTTCGTGAGCACGGTGTGCTTTGCACTATTCATCGTAGACTTTATCGGTAGACGGCGATCATTGATGACTGGAATCGGCCTCCAATTGATCACTCTGATATTTGTCGGCGCATATCTCGGCGTTACCAGCCATCTCTCAACCGATGAGATCGGTGCGACTCCTAGCGCCTCTCGCGCGTCTACTGCCGCCATCGTTGCAATCTTCCTCCACGCAGTGGCTTGGAGTATTGGTTGGTTCAGCATTCCTTACCTTGTCGGCTCCGAGATATTCCCTATTCGCATCCGGTCGTTGAATATGTCCATTTCAATGGCGTTCCATTGGGCGTTCTATTTCGGATGTTCGCGTGCCATGCCAAGTCTGCTAGCTGCTACGCATAAATGGGGAGCTTTTGTATTTTTTAGCTGTATCTGTCTGATATCCTTGATTTACGTATTCTTTGCCATGCCGGTGAGTACCAAATTCTAGTTTATGATATCGCCACTGACCATTCTTAGGATACAACAGGAAGGTCCCTTGAGGAGTTGGATAGCCTGTTCCAGCGACCGTGGTACACCGTTTACCAGGTGGCTTACCCATCACGCGATGAGATTCGAGTAGAGAGACTGGAGGACAAGTTGTCGGCCGATGGAACATCCAAGCACATTGAACAGGCTTAGAAAATTTCCATATACGGAATGTGTGGTACTAGAGCTTACCTCCTGATTGGTCAAACGAAAGTCGAACTTGTATGTCTAAAGCGGGAAGGCGGTCAGACATTGATTGTTCATAACACGTGACATGACATGTGATCATGTATCCAGACTTCAAGCAATCAAGCGTCCTTGCTATCATTAAACGACTACATCTGAACCTAATTCCTACTGTACATACAACTGCTCGTCCACTGCTATGGGCCGCGAAGTATAGAGACAAGAACCAGAAGGCATGTGCAATGAATACACAATTTTGTATTTATGACCTTTAGCCTTCCTACCTGGTTAGCACCAAGAGGGCCCATACGCCTACAGTGGATATGAGCTATGGCTCCTCCGCGCATAGCTTAATACATCTCCCTATGATGGGTCCACCTCCACCGTTCGTGGACTGTGGCGATATGATCATATGATCCAAATGACAGTATTTGAGGCAATCCTGTTATTTTTGGCCTTCCAGATTTGTTCATGTCAAGAGGGGTAATATATCATATGGCCACCATGAGCTAGACAACTGTAAAGGGTGCCCGAGCCATGGTTACGTTCTGGGAGATGAGTCCTTTTTTTCTTTTCCCCAATGCCGTAATCATGGATCATAAGATGAGGTACTCCGTATTATCAAAGCAATTTCAAGACGGACATCCGGCGATAAGCGAGTGGGGAGAGTAAGAGGAGATCATCTAATCTTAATAAGGACCCTATCGCTATAATAAAGTGACTTTTCTTGCCTGAGATGGCCTGGTCGGGCCTCGGTCTTGATCCAATTCAAGATCTGTACCCGGCCGAATCTATCGCTTCAGCCGATCGCACACTAATAGAGAGTACAGTACCGAGTAGGTACGGAGTAGAGAACTGATAACTAAAAGTAGGTATTAAAATATACTATCCAAACTCAATTTATTTTATGAATCTTGAATAAGGACTTTGTTCTAGAAGACTATCACCAAAGTCACTTGTTTCGAGAGAAGCCTTTTGTTTTCCCACAAGGGGATTGAGTATCCGAAGCCTCCCGCTAGTTCTGGTAATTTGTCAGGGTCCAGGGACTCTACAAGTCGTTGCATCATACCAAGACACCACTCGTGCGCGTTCAGGGGGCGCATAGTGATAAATAGTGTGGCAAGGTTCGGAATCGTAGGGCACGAGCTGAGATGCCAATGAGAAGCCCAAACTGAATCCCCATATCATTAGCCGTGCTATGCCACATGTGGAAAGTCGCATGAAACCAATGGCACCGCGGTATTTGGGTTTGAAATAGCGTTTGCACCAAACGTGGTGTCTTTCGAATGGTGACGTGATGTGGGATTTGATAGGTGCAGGCTCGTATTTCCACGACGGACGGTGGAGACGTTGGAGCCCCATACCTGAGCTCCACTTCACCAAGCCCCCAATCACATCGTGATGTTGCCCTAAACCTCGTCTTCCAGAATAGGCCTCGAAATCACCAAGGTTGGGTTCTCCTTGCCATCCCCCGGCTGACGCAGCCGCATTGTCACTGGTAGTTACCATGAAACTGAGGCTTTTCGGTGAAATTAACTTTGCCTGCGCCGTGGGTGGTTTCGAGCCAGTCCCTGCAGGTTGCTACGTACGTATGTCGACCATGTCAAACAACCAGGATTCGGTTTCCACTTCTTGGCTGAGATTTAATCCCCGGTGGTCCGAAAGTTATCATATGTAACCTTGCGTGCGCCCATTTGGGGTGCGACTTCCCTGGGGGCTTAACAACCCGGTCTGGCGATGCAGAGAAACCATGTCCCAGTTCCATGTTGAATCGTGGATTTGGTATGGGGTCACGGTATTCATAATAATTCTGCGATTGTGAGTGTTTCAAGTCACGATACATATCAGTAAATCCGAATACTAACAGGCCTATTATCCAGCATATCGCGACTGCTGTTGGTGAAAAGCCTGAAGAGCTTACAAGTGGAGGATTATCTAATGCTCGTAGTATTGGTATGTCGCCACCGACAGAGACACGAGCAGACCTGTCTTTGCTTACAAGTCTTTCTATAGTGTTTCTACACGGGGTTGGTAGTCACATTGAATCGAATCGAACATGCGCATACGAATTTAATGAAACCGGGCGACGAAGCGCATTTGACACCGGAGTCGATCGAGGACCGCATTTATGGTAGCAAACTGGTGTTGGCAACTGAGCAGTGCATGCTAGCGACAATCTGGGGATGCAAAGGGTGTCTTCTTCTCCTCTACGCCAGGTTGACGTGAGTTACAATGTCCTTGTGTACCGAACAATGTGCTGAGAGGATTATAGGGAAGGAATTAAGCAACAACTGGCCGTCAAGATCCTGGCTGGTTATGTGGTTGGGTCATACATTCTCTTGGAAATCCTCTACTTCGGTGTTTGGTGTCGGCCATTCCATAATTACTGGGCTGTTCCCACACCCAACGGTATGTGTGATAGCTTCTCTCTGAAAGGCCATGTCTCTGACTTGGTAATCTCAGAACAATGTTCGACGGCGACACATCACCTTATCATGACAATGGTCTTCAATATTTCGTCAGACATTCTCATGATGTGCATTCCGCTGCCGCTCCTCATATCGGCTAGTTTGCCACTACGCAGGTACGTTCCAAGCGACGTAGGCTCCGTCCAGTATTTAACAACAGGATTGTAGTAAAATCACTCTAGTGGGTGTATTCAGCATGGGAACCTTCATTGTAAGACCGGCACTTTTTTCAACCCCACCGATCGCGACTAATGACCCTTAGATCCTATGCGCCACTCTCAGCAAAGTCTACAGCTTCAAAGATCCCTTCAGCCCCCAATGGCTCTTCTGGTACGTTCGCGAGGCCAGCACTGCCGTCTGCGTCGCCAACATCCCCAACTGTTGGAGTCTGGTTCGCCGCGTCTTCAACCTGAGTTCCTGGACCGGTAGTTCGCACAGCAAAGGCAGGACACACCACTACACCCCCTACGCATATGGAACTGGAACGCATAGTAGGACGAGACGACACACATCCTCACAGAAAAAGAACCTCTGGACATCCGTCACCATGTCCGGAGTACGGAAGACGGAAAGTGCGGAGGAAATTATCAAAGAAGACCCTGAGCAGCAAGCCCACCAAGGAATCCCACTCGAAATCTGGCACCAAACCAGCATCCACGTCACAGAAGAACTGCCCAGGCCTGATGATATCCATAAGGGTGCCACTACAACAGCTCCAGGTCGGGAATAGACCCCGGGCTTGGGGCTGAACTAATGATAGATAATCAAAATAAAGAGGTAATGATAATATCGCCGATAGACCAGTCTACAGTCCCGCAGCCCCGTAGTTGGATCAATAGAGTGAGCTTCTCAGGGGTCACTATCCCAAACCCCTTGAATTATCTATTCAATGTAGCTTGCTCACAAACAAAAGGCCAGTGGCGGTCGTATAGCTTCGTATACGAACAAGCTCAAGAAATTTCTCCGAGATAGACCCGAGATAACGCGTCGACCAATTTCCATGACGGGGGAGCAAGTGGTCCTTCTGTTAACTGGTTATCCAACATTATTCGAATTGTGGCCCTGCCTTCACATGCCTTGAAATGCCGAGGAAAGTCCTTAATCCACGACATGAACTCCATCAGGCCAATGCCGGCCACCGCTTGTTTCTGGAGCCATGGCTATCTTCTGTACGGAGTACTACGGTAGTCTTTTCCCTTGCTGGGCTAAGCTGTGGGGGTCTGTTTGAAACATCGATCGTCTCGCTATACCGATTTGGAACGGAGTGGCAGGCAGTGCAGCGCCCACTGTGACGAGGAGATCTGCGCCTTTATTTCCAAGTTTAACACGAGACCCGCCGTGCCTCCACCAACACCGACGATCAGATAATCGACAGTGGTAGGAAAGTTCAGGATCTGAACATGGCCGACCCGCGGAACTTGGGAACTTGAACATCCGGGAGTCTATTGACTTTACTCCGTATTCATGTCTCAGAAAGGCGTGCACAGTCGGGTCTGGGATCCTTCCCGCAGGATGTTTTACCTCGCAGAAAGTGTATTACTGTACTCCGTACATAGACGCTGTCTATCACGCCTTTACATACCGTATTTGTCAAACATAGCCGGCTTGGCGCAGTCTTCCAATCTCTCGGGGCCGATTGATGGATGTCTCGGCTTTGTCGCCTGGCCCACACGGCACTATCACAGAACTAGAGCCAAATGAAGCCTGATAAAGAACGAATGCTGTAAGATTTAGAGGTTGAAGTGATCCTGCAGGATTGTGGCACGCATATGAGTTTATGATGGGCATGTCTTACACCATTCTTTTGGGATTTCGCCCTGAAAAAAAAAAAAAAATACTAATCAATAATTACTCTCTGGTTCTCGGTCTTCAAAATAAAAAGAAAGTGATATGAAGATCTTTAGTCATGTCGCTTTCTTCTCAGTCTACTCCGTGATTCAGGACACGCAAACCGTTAGGGCTCATTCGTATATCTGCTCGTAGTATAGTTTCCAATTTTGGCCTGGGCCTCTGACCTCAAACCAAAAAGCTGGCCGAGCCCTAACATTAACGCACTGGCTTTTGAAGCTAAGCCGCGTCTGTCTATGACCTACAACTGATAGACTTAATTAAAGTTTGAAGCCAGATGACAGGGGAGTTTCGTATGGAAGGGCTCCGCGCCCGTTTCGGCTTCTGGAGCCATGGGTCGACAGACTAGTCTCCGCGTGGTACTTGAAGGTTTTATATTTTTATGTCGCTTGTCTAGTTAAGAGCTTATTCGGCTTAGCCCCGGCGAAAGATACACAGATGGGACCAGGTACATAGACCGGTATATATGAACCACACCCGAGACACCGGGAATCCTGCGGATTCGAGGTGAACTCGGCATTTCTGTCTGCCATGTACCCTTTTGCCAGGGAGCTCGCTATTGAGTCATGGATCTTATATGCAGTGGGTTAGTTATCGTTCGTCGGCAACAACACTTGTTACGATCATTAACATCAAGGTGATATAGGGATTTTGATTATCGGATGTCGCCTGTTCGTCCCCACGTACATTGACTGCAACGGAGAGAAGTACTTACCGGAGATAGAGTTTCGCGACGTATACGGTTAAAGTCATGGAGCAAGTTACAAATGGATGATGCGCTTATGTGTGTGATTGCAGTATGTCCGCGGTCGAACAGCTGTAGGTCATGGATTAAGGTTGACAGAACTGCATAGCTCACCTTCACGGGGGTCACTGTCACGGCGAATAGCACGGCTCGGGTTAGCAGTGATCCAATTGTTCAGGAAGAATATCCTACACCACATGCCGAAGCTCTCATGGTGTGGGGGAACAAAATGATCTTCACGTTGGAGCAGTTCGCTTTGATTACCATATGGCTGGTCAAGGGCTGCCTTCTCATCATCTATAATCGTCTAACGTACGCCGGTGTCCGGAGCATTTGCGCACAATAAGGCTAATGCATTTCATCGGTAGGCTTATGATGAAAGAGCATTTAGTTGTGAAAATTGTTGCGGTATATGTAGTCATCTCTTTCATTGTTATCGAGGTCCTCTTCTTGGGAGTCTGGTGCAGGCCCATCAGATATTACTGTATGTCTTCTCTTATATCAGGTTCAATACACATCAACTAATGTGTTACAGGGGATCTCGACTCTGACAACTGTATGAGGCAATTCATATATGAACTCGATGGGTGAACTGGCGGCTGAATATAATCATAGACCAATGTGGGACCTACCTAAACCATCTGATCACGACAACCGTTTTCAATATCTCCTCAGATTTGATGATGTTGTGTATCCCATTGCCGCTCTTTATCCGATCACACCTACCATTCAAACAGTAAGGGTACACCCGATGCGTGAGTATGGCAAAAAATTCACAACTGACTTCAATCACAGAAAGGTTGCAGTGTGTGCTGTGTTCAGTCTTGGTGGGATCGTTGTCTGTGATACCCAATACACCCCTGCTGAGATAGATTGCTGACCGGTGCCTAGATACTTATGGCAGCTCTGAATAAGTACTACAATTTCACCAAACTCAGCAACCCCCGGTTCTTGGTTAGTGTGCATACCATGGTATATGATATATCTCAACGATTTGCTAAACAAATGAGACAGAAATGGTATGTTGCAGAGGTAGCTACCGCGGTCTACGTCTCGAATGTGCCACTTCTCTGGCCTCTTCTTCGACAGGTCTTTCGCTGCCTTCGTTCTACCGTTCACTCCAACTACACGTCAGGCGCACCCAAACCGAGCGGGCCGCAACGAGGTCTGGCGCCATTGCGCTCCCATTCGCGATCACATTCGAGATATCGTACCGATTCGGCACATTCGATCATCAACCACTCGCATGGGGGCAGCATGCCAGACGCACATGAGCTGGTGTTAACTCCGACCCGAGAACGAGGCTATAGAGCCGACATTATGGGGGACTCAGATACAAGCCCACAAAAGTCTAAGGACATAACAGTGCACAGAACTGTGGAGGTTACTCATGAGTATCCGTGATAATAATAATAATAATAATGTTACTATGGTTATCCTAGGTCGTAAATCGTACGAGTATTACACATTACTGGGCTTACTATTGTATATGCTTAGTGCACTAGGCTACACTTCATCACCACTAGCTATAGTTGCTCAAATAAAATGAAGTGGTGCATAGTCTCAACTGGGCATCGTACATTCTGTCGATAAACATGTGTTCTCTCCGTAACATATTTCAGAGATTATTCGTACATTCCATCACGCGTACATGGGTAGATATAAAATTTCATGTCACTTTATCATTCAGAGGATGAGGTCTTCGCAGCTCCAGAGAATGGACAGCCCCCAGCCGCCGACGCCGTGTCGGCAACAGCTTCCGCGTTTTCGCGGGCAATCTGGCGAAACATATCCATGGGATCATACCAGACATCGATCCTCTCCAGCTCAAGCTTGTCATTTACCTTAGCAATGACAATACCCTGAATATCGATAAGGCCGCCATGCGCCTTGACTCGGACCTTCTCTCCACGACTAGGTAAGACTCGTCAGTATCCGATTTCTATCAACTCACAAAGGGACTCACTCGTTATATCCCACATAATCATTCGCCATAACACCCCAATGTCTCCATTTGAAGACCACAGTCGGCGGTCCGCTGTATACTTCTTTCACCTCCCAAGCAAATGTGGGCATCATGCGCTTGAATGCCTTATGGCTGGTTTCGAAATCATTGTGTGCCGGATCATAGTACGAGCTCGCGGTTAGGAGAGCGTTGTAGGTGCCGACTTTGAGCATATGCTCGCCGGATTGCGGCGGACCTCCGTTTAATGAGAAAGAATATGTCTTCTGGTCGATGGTCCTCCAATCGGCGAGGGAGGTCTTGAACGAGGCTTCGATTTCCCAATTTTTGACGAGTTTTTCGACCAGGTCTGGAAGGCTTCCGGCCTCGTGTGTCATTGTTTTAGCTTAAGCGATCGCGTCAGCGGTTTATGTGTTTTGAAAATGTGACCGCGAAAGACGAACTCTGCTCATAATAATCTCTAGTCTTTGAATAGTTCGGCACCCGGCCATGTCGCCAGGCGGCCTCCGTATCTTTTAGGACTGCATCGGCGTCAAGGACGTAGTCAGGAAGTGCTGGTGGTGCGTCACCCATTTTGGTATTCGGTTGCGACAAGGTTCTGTATGTTTAACAGGGGCGAGAAAATATGGAAGTGGGATGGAGAATGTCCAGCGTATTTATTCCCCGAGCCATGCTAGACGACAGCTATTAGCCAAGTGGCATTGGCCACCGGGGTTGTGGCTATGATTACTCGCTATCCACCATTTACACGCCGTTGATGACAGCGGCATGCCTCGGTAACTAGTGTGGTGGGAGACAGGGATCTAAACGGCCCATAAAGTATAGTATCCAATCCCAAGAATTGTAACGACCATGCGTTGGACCATAAAAGTGGGTAGCGCGACCATTCCTATGAAAGGAAGGAGATATAGTTTCCGATAGTCCAAGCGAGCATCCAAAGGATGACTGCTGAACCAATCCGGCCTTTCGCATTGTTTGTTATCACAACTCTCCCCCTCGGTAGATAGCTGGTGGCATCAAACCACTGACTCGCATATCCCCGAGGCTTTTCGAGGATAGCACGGGCCAAGGTTCGGTGCGTGATCGAACATCGGCCTGCAATCAACGATTCCAGCTGCAGGCAATATAAACGGAGCAGATCCCATTGGATCGAGCGATCGGACCACAGTGGACCAGGGAGGGTCCAGACCCAGCACAGGAGCAATGGAAGTGCCGGAACAACGTTGTGACACAGAGGATAACAACGCACAAGAATCCTCCAGGTCTCCTGGTAATCTTTGGCTCCTTTCCTATTCGGCTTCTCGTATCCACTGCTTAGTGCTGGTAGGCTACGCCGAAAATAAAGATACCATGGTATATGTTGTAGGTGTATCTCACACTTCGATGGAAGAATGTGCGAGGATGTGGAGAAGCCTATCAGATCTGGGTCGATTAAATTGTAATTCGTGCGCTTCCTTGAGGCTTAGTGGCCCGAAATTATATTAATATACATAGCGACTTGTTCATTGGACTGTCCCTCGTCAAATATATTAATCATTGGTAAGCCATTGGTGGGGCTCCAATGCAACCAAGTGAGACAACCAAAATTCTCGGTTCGCCTTTGAAACAAACAGCAGCTTGGGGAGCGTGTCATTGACATTGCTTGCCCCCGGGAAGATAACTATACTTAACGTGTTATACATATCACAACACACAGAATCAACCAGTGCTTTGGCCAACTGAAGAACGGGCTACGGCTAACATGGAGTGGTACTCCGTCCCACGGGTACTGTTAGAATAACGGCGTTGACCGTTAACCCTAACGAGTAAGCATGGGGGCCAACTATGAACTCTAATATAGGAGATATTGATTAAAGATAATGGAATTCGCATGCACCTTCTTGGATTATTCCCCCTTAATCCGTTTCCGACACTCCGGACTCCATACTCACACTTCTGCGGTTTGCCCACTATGACTAGCCGACTTTCCATCTAAAGGTTGTTATGGATATTGATTCCAAGGTGGCTGAAAAAGTGGTCCCTGACAATGGAATCGAAAATGTTTTTACTTTATATTATGGCACCCACTAAGGGTCTTCGCTCAGATATGCCCAGATGAAAGGGGCAACTGTTCAATCCTTTCAATCACTTCCCTATCTATAGTGTTCTGGGCAGCCCCAATCAATTTTCTCGTTCATAACTACCAATTTGATGTTATGTAACCCCAATCCTCCTGAGTCCCAGGCTGCCAATAATAGAGCCATATTGATCGGAAGGCTTTGCTAAAACGTTCCCAATAATGGCTGGCTGGCACACGGCCCACAACGGCCGGAACGGAAAAGTTTAGTGGAGCACTCGTAGTCGTGGGCCTCTCGCGCAAAGTTTCGCCCCTGAGAGGGCATACAGAGCATATTAGGTCTATTGACAACATTGCGCTGGTTTGGAGAAGAGAAGTTTGCGATTGTAAGTCATTGTCACTAGGGTTTTCTCAAACCCAGTGATATGGCCCATTCCCAAAAGAGAAGGACATCCTTATAGTGACCGTACTAATCGGGTTAGTCTGTATTTACCTTATGTAAGCATTCCGATTGCGGTAATTTAAAATTTATCGCCCTCGAATTTGATGTTGAAGCGTCTTGCCAGTTCTTAGTTACTGAATTTTAAACCAGAGTTACCTAAGTATGGATAGATCTAACACGCATATTACTTACCTCCGGTCACTGCAAGCTGCTTCTTTGTAATTCTGTTAGCTTCGTCACTACACAAAAGCACCACCCACTTATACTACCAGCTTCTCCCCAGGATTTGATTAGAATTGTGTCAATCACAGCATTGAAATTGGCTCCCCTTCTAATTAATTCTCCGGTTACTGCGAAACTGTTAACGATTTTTTGATACTGTTGTCTAGCTTCCAGAAACCCACACAGTAGTCTCACAAACCCTGGCAGCACTGAATTCATTCGGAGACCATCCTATGCGTAGGCTACCGCGTCTGTCCGAGTCAACCCTAACACCCCAGCTCGTAGGATGGGCGATGGGAGGAAAAGTGAGGAAATCTTCACGATCACTCCTCGTTGAGAGGGCACACCAGTCCTATACCCGAAAGCTAGGTAAACGGATCCTCACCACGAGTAGAGAGAGTCATACCTTATGGACAAATTCGCCTCCTACCTCATCATCTATCTGAGCACCGTTCGCTGCTCTTACTGGAATGATGTGTGTCTCATTTAATTAGGGATTAATAAACCCCAACTCTCTGGATGTTTCGACAAGTGTGTCATAGTTGATATCGATTAGAATAAGGCAGGTCACGCCTTCTTCCACAAACGCCCGAGCACGGACGAGTTTTATGCTTGAGGCGGTCCCAGTGATCAAAGCGATACTGTAGGTCAAATTAGCAGACATATTATGCATTGATAGAGACCTATCGCACCATTGAATGCCATAATGTTGGGCGTGCTTCATTGATAATTCTTAGAGGTTGGCTACTGGAGGAACAAACTCGAAGGGATTTTGCTCACTGCCTGCAAAGTATATATATGTGCCAAATAGCAGTAGTCCGTCCTGCAGAGTACCTACCCAGCTCCTTGGCGGCTACATGATCTACGCAAGAGAAAATGTGGGGACACTCGGCCCTAACAATTTACCTCCTCGCCGAGGAGATTGACTATGGCGCCATTCGTCTTTAGCTGGTTGCAGAGGACGAAGACATATGATCGCCTACCCCGCTGACCGGACATAGTACCCGCTGACTCGGGGATGATAGTGTATCAGTATACTTAACTCCATAAAAAACGAGAAGGCTGACAGGCTGACTTCCCCATAGCCCCACCCTGGATGCTCTAATGGCATTCCTAACACACCATTGGTCGGACCCCGCGCATGTTCGGCAATGAAGTGATGAAAGGCCGGTATTAACTGTAGGACTCGCTCTGGTTGTAGCAGCAAGACTGGATTCTTACCCCGTTTCTATATAAGCATACGCTTTGAGCCACCGAAGAAAAAGGGAATACTGGCCTGCACGACTTCGACGAAAAGACGATCAATACAATCCGCAAATATTCACATAAAGGCACTTGGAGAGCTTCGATTCTGAAACTCTGGGTATAGCACCATTCTCGGAATTGATAACCACTTTGATTCTGATAGTGTTATTAGGGCCAGAATACGACATTATACCCTTTACATCTCAAAGGAGAATCGTTTCAACCGCGTTCGACACTCGTCCACGATGCCGGAGTCAATCATATTCTCCGGGGCGAATAACCCCCAGAAAAGCGTGATGAAGCCAACGGCCACTTTCACCGGTGAGGTCTACCTAGACTTAATCTCCATGGATGCGGCTGCCTCACTGGCAAATGTTACGTTCACACCTTGTGCGCGTACCTACTGGCACACCCACGAGGGTGGCCAAATGATCAAGGTATCGTCTGGGACGGGTTGGATCTGTGACAAGGGAGGAGAGGCTCGTCGGATCAAAGCCGGCGACGTTATCTGGGCTCCGCCGGGTACTACCCACTGGCACGGTGCCGACGATGGTTCTATTATGACTCACTTCGTTGTTGGCATCGGCGAGACCAAATGGCATGACGAGGTCACCAACGAGGAGTATCACAAGCGAGTGGAGAATTAACGTGTTGTCGTACTACATGATAGCCTCCTCGTACATAGGCGCACCTCTCATCTCCACAAAGAGTGCCTGCATTTGGAAGGATTCTACTTGGATAGCCTAAGTATATCTGCAATTCTGTTCAGCAGAGGCCCCTAATCAAATATCTGTCGACAAAAAGGCCACTCAGGCGCCTCGGAAACTTAGATTGTGACCATAGTTGTGTCTTATAGTTGTGACCACCGGTTTTGAGAAGCGGGTATAGAACCTAAATGAATCCTCAGTTTGTTCGGTGACGGAAGGAATCGTAAAGGAAGTTGGTGAGGAGGAACAAGAGGGTGATTTCACTGTGGGCAGGCCGGCGAGGTCGTCTTCAGGCCTAAGAAGGCGTTTTGGGATAATAAGTTGAGAACCATGGATTGAATATCAGCTGCTAGGTCCAAACTCTCCGAGTAATGCCTAAGGACGCTTACTTCTACCCGTATTCAGTTCTGCTCCATATGAAATATTCTCTAGGTGATTTTGCCAGTCTCCGTTCGGTTTGCCATTTACGTCTGGCTTACTTTGGATTACATTATTCTCTGTGTTATTATGAGCCAAGCTAGGCGATGAGCTGTGTAAAGGCTTATATGGCCATGCATGTATTAAATGGCCTATTGATGCATAAAGTACAATTACCGAACCGGGACTGTGATATCTTTGTGGCAAAAGCACGATATTTAGTCAACTAGCTCTCAAGATTAGGGCTATGTAGTAAGACAGTGATAGCGCAGCACCAGTCCAATAGTCTTAAGACACTGGTTACCGATAATCGTCTCGGTCTCCATCATACCTTCCTATCCATTTAATGGCCTTACTATTGGTTGTTAGCTTCTGATCCAAAGGCCCTCCCGCCATTCTAATTCGGAGACACCTACAAGCTGTACCATTTCGCAAAGGTGGTCCTTTAGCTGCAGAAGCCAGATTCTCTGCAAGAAGCCACTAAGCTGATGTTAGCTCATGTCTCAGAGTCCGTGGGTATGGAACTCACTGGCCAGACTGCCACATCCGTTCTCGACGGCTCCAGGGGCAGTGCAGGAGGAGGCACTATAGACTGCAATACATTGAGCACAATTCATGCGTGCCTCAAGCTTTTGGGCAGGGTTTGGGGCTGCAAAAGCTCCAGTGAGAAGCAGGGTCAAGGCGAAGGAGGCGAACTTCATGTCGGAGTGATTGAGATATGTAGAAGAGACTGAAAGCTAATATGGATAAAGTAGATCTGTTGGCTTCTTGAGTTTCCAATGCCGGGGATACGACTCGACTTTAAATAGCCATTTCTGTTCTCGAACACTTACCGAAAGACTTGCCGTATGTCGCACTGGTTTTGCTTCTCCTGCTTTGAGTCTCACCTTACAGTTTCGCCGGTTGTAATTGAAGAGCCATGCCCTGAAGGAGAACCATGAACATTGCAAATAAATCGGTGCTCTTTATCCCGAGCTCCATTAGACCTTGTTCATCAGCGTACAGAAGTTGGTTGCTGGTAGAATGTGATTGGACGTGTCGTATCGAACATAGACAGCTATGTAGCTTGTAAAGTTAGCTCGGTATATCTCTTTCCTCTCATCTTATTTTAGCCCCCAAGCTACTGTGTCAAGCTAAATCTTAGCTCTTACCCCAGGTCTGCATGATCAGCCCTGCACAATTGCAGAAAGCCTTCCTCACCCACCGGATCTTCAGCACTGTGCCATGACATATACGATCGAGCTGCAATAGCTCCTAGTATGTGGTATATGTCACCAGCAAAAGAAATCTCCTGGTGTTCTTTACTTGACAACTTGACCTCGGCCACGGCTCACCAGAGAACCTTAGCAATATTCGGTGCAGACGGTTATTTTTGGCCCCAGTTTAGTGCGCAGACTCCACACGGCGCTTCATCCCCCAATCTCTGCCGTATTGGAAAGGGTCCTTGCCGATCATCGATAGTTCTATTTTCGATTCTTTCTTTCTGGCTCAAGCCTCGGAAATTCCGACTCGGAATCATGGCCAGTAGCAGAGGGATTCCTTCCCATGATATTTTCTTGTCGACAAATCAAACAGGAGCCGTGTTAATGGGGTTATCTAAGACACAGGGAAAGAATATGACTAGTCGGATTTGAGGCATGATTTGCTGCTAAAACCCCGAATCAGGGTGAGATTGTCTTCACCTAATATACTTGACTAAATGCTTCGCAAGGCACTATTAATGAGTTGATTACGGGCTCCATATCCGTAAATTATCCTCTTTAATTGTCACCCAGTATGATCTTATTCCAGGAATCAGATAATTACAAGGCAGGCTAGGCGACGAGCCGCTGAAAAGCTAGCCCTAAACCCAATGCTCTATAGTTATTGTGGGCTATTCGTGCATTATTTCTACGGCCGTAGAGAACACTAATCTGTCGCACGCCGAGCGTTTGCCTGAACATACGAAAGCCGACAAGTTCTGCGTCTCTGGCAATTATCCTGAAGCTCTGAAAAGTTGGGCAGGTTGCATTGAGGGCGCATCATTGCCAGGAACTATCGTATATCCGGATGTAGCAGGAGTCAATCCATTTCTACTGCAAATCCTTGGCAGGTGTCCTTTTGTTCCCCACACCATCCATGAGAGATTCCGCCTCATATGGCTTGTCATTTCCCTGCCAAGAGTTAAATTTAGTTCTGACGGACTTGGAAGCTACCATTGTTCTACTGTATGTATTTTTGGCCTGATAGTCGACTGTTCTACTACAGTATGGAGGGCGTTGTTGGTTCGCTGCTGTGTATAGTTACTTACCGAGCTGATGGCTATAAAACCCCCCTAAGAGCTAGGCATAAATAGTGGCTTAACAAATGGTAAGAAAAAGGGAAACCACATCGCCTACTTGGCGTGAGAAAGGAGGAAAAACAAGGCATAGTACCTGTATAGTTGATGTCACATCTGGGCCCACAGGACCTGGCGAGTCAGGCATTGGCCGGATACTTTATCCACAAGTGACAATGGCATGCTACTCTGGTCAACCAGACTTAAGAATAATTAACAATACGTGTGTCGAAGCCAAATAGGATTCTTCCATGGACGCAAAGTCTGGACTGAGGAATCAATAGCCCTACTATCAAATCCCAGAAATTGCTGTTTTCGGCGAGCGGATACAGTCGACGGTTGCGGAGACACCAATGAGCTTGCCCTGGAAATTATTTCCCTACTCAACTGGATCTGACTCGGGCCGTTCGCAAGCAACTGTTGTGGACTACCAGTAGCTTTGGCACTGAATTCAAGGAAATCAATACTCTATAATCATGCATTTGTTGTGTACGGACAATAAACAAGGAAATTGTTTTGCTGTTACATGTGCCATCAACTGAGTATCAAGCGGATCACGATTCCGTTTCATAGAGGGTACCAAAGAATGACGACAAATGAGACTATCTCTCCCTATGTCCTTAAGTCACCGTTACACCCAAGGTAAGAGATGCTCAGGGAGCATAGCTATCGTAAAGGCGTACGATTGTCAAACTCGTTGCGACGCCTGCACTATAAAGAGTCCTTTGATATCATGCCATCTCACACGGATTGCTAACCTTCCTTTTCTTTCACCAAGGGATTGCCTTGGATTAAAACAATGGCAACCTTCTTGATCCTTGCTGCGACCCTTTCGAGCGCCGGCATCTTTGCCTCACCAGTCCCAACCGAAGCACCGGTTAAGCAAACAGGCTACCCAGTTATCGTGGGGCAAAATGGCTATACCAGCGCTCCGTATCACGGTCCGTACACGGGTACGCCTACGACCACTGGCGCCGTGAAAGCGCCAGCAACGCTTGCTGCGTCAATCGAGCCCAAACCGCCAAACCCTACCGCGACGTACTACAATAGCCAGGGTGTGCCACTCAACCCGATGCCAGCCCCATATACCCCTGCTGGAGGGTTGGGCACAAATGGCACTGAGCCTCGCTACATGGTAGAGAGTGACTTTGACTTCGAGTCCATTGCCCTTGGTGTCTATCAGGAATACATTGAACTCGATCTCTTCCACGATAGCCTTGCTCGGTTTACCGATGAGGAGTTCCAGGAGGCTGGCCTGGGCCCCGAGGCCCGATCGCTTATCGAGTTCATGGCAGACCAGGAGGCCGGACACGCGACCTTGCTGAGCAACATGCTGGGAGAAGCCGCACCCAAGCAATGTGTGTACAACTATCCGTACAAGACTGTTCGCGAGTGGGTGGATTTCAATCAACGTGTCACACGTTACGGTGAATCTGGTGTCTGGGGTTTCATCTCCCATCTCGACTCGCGAGAGGTTGCCAACCTCCTGTCTCTCTCAATCTCCACCGAGGCTCGTCAACAATTGATCTTCCGACAGATGTCGGGCCTCTCCCCAATGAATGTTTGGTTCGAGAATGGATGGCCCCAGTCCTGGGCATGGACAATGCTGGCCCCCTATATCAGCTACTGCCCCGAGGGTACCACTCGTCTCGCGTGGCAAAACTTCCCAACTCTCCAAATCTTGAACAACCCGAACATCAACCGCGTTTCCCCGAATGACACACCAAATGACGGTAGCGAGACAGTGGGCAAGCGTATCACCGACCCATCAGTCTCAGATATTAGCAAGGACGAAAACTGCCTGAATCAGGACGCAATCGGTAAGAATTGTGCGCCCGCGATTGCCCACAATCGCTCGGAGCCTCTATCATACCCTGGTAAGCAGGTCTTTCTTGAATGGGAAGCGCCAGGCAAGAGCGTTGGACCGAACAACTCCTACATCACGACTACAGCTGCTGGTGAACCCAAGTTCGTGGGCTGGAGTTCCCAATTGAACTTGACCTACTCACCATTGACCGTGACGGGTGAAAACACTGGCTACACGTACCAACCGGAGGGTTTCGTGTATGATGATGATGGTATCATCAACGGCACCATGGCCATCATGCTGACCGATATTGACCTCTTCGTCACTCCGTTCAACCTGTCCATGCTTAATCCTCACATTGTCGCCCTCGGCTTGTACATGGCTGGTTAAGCGGAACTATGGAATGCAGTCCAACATCGTGGAAGGTAGTATGGCTCTGTCAGCCTCTTTTATGTAAGATGATTTCATCGGTAGCAATGTCGATGGCTTTTTTTTTTCTCAATCGCTGGGGAAATGTTTCTGATAGATTATGCTTTTTATAGAACTTGAAAATTGATGATAAAGGTGTTTATTGAGACTGCTTTTTTCATTCTGACATTCCTCTTTTGTAGAGTATGTAGGTTAGACATGAGCAAATAGCTCGTTAGACGGAGCGATGCAACTTGGTATATAAAAGTAGTGTATCATGACTGTCTTATGCCGCTGAGCAAAGTACTTTGGCAAATGGCAGAATAGCAGTTAATGCATACCCCGAGTTGTGTGTTTCAACTGGAACTTCTCAGGGGAGTGCCTTTCTACATATGTTGGTTCAGACGCAATGCTCTTTGCGGCTTAGCAGAGACAACGTAGACGGAACTCAGTAGCGTAAAGACTTTGCATTCCATACAATAAACAGGTGGTCCTCGACTCGAATCAATCAGGTCTAGCTGAGATCAAAATCCGCTAGACAGTTGAAGAATGAGGCATTGTAGCAGGTCGGATCGATGAACCCCGGAGCCAACTCCGGTATCATTAAACCTTGTCCTTCCGCAACGGTCACAGCGGGAGGTGCATTATGGCTGGTGCGCTCCACATCGTTCGAATCTTGAGATGTCGGGATCGACTTCAGTGGTTCAGCATTCCATTTCTCGATCGAATCCGAGAGAATGTCCGCTGCAGTGGATCGGACACAGTCATAGGCACATTCTGCGGAGCCCCAGGTTCGCTTTGTACTTTTCAGACACCCGAGAATGAGGGTAACGCGATTGCAATGGTGATCAAAACATTCTTCGGAGTGATTGATGGAAGTTGCGAGCTGGATCATACCACATAGAGCCAACGCGGGGATGACGAAAGGCGTGTGCTTTTGGATGTTGGGACAAATGGAAATGGAATCGGAGACACGCCGGGAGGCTTCAGTCGCCTTGATACTATGGACCAAGCGCGGAAAGGTAGACGAGAGGTGACAGGGTGCAGACGGCCAAAAGCAATCGTCGGGCTGTGTGAGGAGCGGCCGAAGATCGCTGCGCGGTAGATGCAGCAACATGGTGGCATACGCAATGATCAGATGGGCTTGGAAGATCATCTCATCCACATTACCGTACGAATCCACAATATCCAGTTTGCGGGAGGGTAGGTGGTTGACCCAGCTGACGAGAGCATTTTCAATGGCCTGGAGATGGTCGCGATGATAATCCCGCAGGCGATTCAAGACTAGGACGCGACACAGGATCGTTGCTGCCTCAATGCGGTAGCTGAAGGATGAAAAGGCAATTTCTTGGGCCGCAAACACCCTGCGTTTGAAATCCAGCATCTTGCGCGGCGACGGGATCTCTCCACATCCTGTGTATGCGGATTCATCGCAAGGCAAGCCGACCTCCGGAGCGACTGTAGTACATCGAAAGGTGATCGTTTTAAGCGGAACGGCCATGAATATATCCGTGATGTATAGCTCCCACCACGTTCTTCTCATGCTCTCGGCTTCAACAGATCTCTCGGGATGGGCCGATGATGCGAAATCACCTCGATGCATACCCAGCTCAAAGGCGGTCTCCGCACTTTGTGAGAACGCTTCCTGGGCCTTTTGTCGCTCGCCGCGGGCATACAGAGCAATGGAGTAGATCAACCAAGCCTGGACCAGGCACGGCGAGCGGTCCAGATTGGATTCCAGCGCGGCATCTACCTTGTCCTTCAGCAACTGGCGGGGCCCGGATGGCAAGTAATGAGACCCGACGAACTCCACCACCAGTTGAAGAAAGGGAGGGTAATCGCGATCCTTGTATAACGTGCTGGGGACCAATATAGGATGTGCGACATGAAAGTGCTCGTAATACAATCGAGCACAACGGTCATCTTCGTCCCATGACCTGCCTGGTGGTTCTAAGGGATCTGAACTGGTGTCATTCGGCGATAGGATTGCCGGCCACGGGACACCTACAAGGCCTGGACGGCTACTCCGCTGTAACGAGATATTGCTACTATCAGGCGTGTTCATCGGACCTGGCGCACTCGTTACTTGCAAAGGCAGTCCCGTCGCGTGGTGAGGCGTTTGGATGTTATTCCCAGTTCCATTCCTGGGGGAGTAATGGCTGGCACTGATACTAAACGCATCATCCAGTTTCGAAGCCGAGGGCCGATGTTGTTGTGGATGATGATACACAATGTCATGCCGTGGCTTTCGGCGTCCTCCCCGGCGAGAAGGAAGATATTGACAGACAAAGCCACCTTGGGTACAACGCGAGCAGGATGGTTGATTGGCATCACATTTGAGATGCTGTTTGCGGCATTCCGTGCAAGCAAGGGCGGCGAGGCCAGTTTGCCGGGTGGATCGTCTCGGGGTCATGTTGATCATGATAACGATGATATTAAAAAATTAATTAATTGTCGATCACCATCCTCTTACACGGATGACACAGCCTATGCGACGTTAACCCGTCATCATGCCATCCGGACAGTTAGGGTTGTAGTTGAAGATGTGACCTTTTTGAAGGGACGAGCCAACCATCGATTTTCTTTCTTTTTTCCCGTTGATTTTCTGTTGCGCTTTTGGTCTGTTTAGTCTCCCCAAGTATTACGCAAAGGGGATTAGTGGCGAGACAAAGATACCCTACAACCACCTCCAGATAGACGGAAAACACCAGAAACACAGGTGAAACTTGGAGTAGTTGGAACTATAATGTTATCCCTATAGAGAATCATGGGTATTAGCGTCTTGCCACGGCTCCCGTCGGGGGTCCGCGCCGTTGGAGCTCCTGTGACAATCGGCGATTACGATCTGTTCTTATCCTACCCGTTGAGGGAGCTACTCCAGATACCAGAACTATCGCTATGAACCCCATCCCTCTCGAATTGTTCTATTGCAGAAGATCGAGTTCTCTGATAGGATGCCTGGTCCACCGCCATTCGCTCAGCAGACTTATTTGCATCATCAGTGCCACTATAAAGAGCCAAGACGCGTGGATCCACCTTCAATCGGCGACTCGACTTGCCCCGTGAAAGCTGTCAATCGGCGATTGCGCTATCAGGGGGCGTTTAATGGTCATAATATGATCGCCGGATATGGCGGTCAATCAATCAATAAATATACTGGGCGTGCTCGAACACTCCTTGAAGTTTCTCAAAGTGCTACAATCACTCACTAGGATCCAAGAAGTAATCATGTTGGCTTCCGCTATACAATTGCCTCTCCCGTTGCCGCACGGCCCGTCGCTATGCGATCACCGTTTCTTACCTCCCACGTATGATTTACAAGATCTCGTCCATGATATCAAGGCCTACCTCGGCGATTCCTCGGGGATCGATTCATCAGACATAGACCATGAGCACTTGATAGCGCTGGCGCAGAAATATGTCTCAAATCCGAACGATTGGCTGCGGTTCTTCTACAACGATCCGAGTAAGAACTATACCCGCAATGCCATCGAAAACATCAACCGCAAGGCAAACATTGTATGTTCACCGTTCCCCTGACTTTACGAGGGTCTTGAAGACCGTGACTGACCTGTCCCAGCTGCTGCTGGTATGGAATCCAGGCAAAGGCTCTCCCATCCACGACCATGCCAATGCCCATTGCATCATGAAAGTCTTGGCTGGCGAATTGACCGAAACGGTCTACCATCCTCCCAACAGCGAAGGCGACGAGACAAGCCCGCTCCAGCTCAAACACCAAAAGCGATACCAGGCGGACCAAGTGACATACATCTCAGATGATATTGGTTTACATCGGGTCCATAACCCAAGTCCTAATCAAGTTGCAGTTTCCCTTCACAGTATGTATTAATCAAACTCTACCCAACCAGTTGTGATACTCACCACTCTTAGTCTACACCCCTCCTAATGCCGCCGATTATGGCTATCACATCTTCGATGGGGCCACAGGAAAGGCCAGCTTTGTATCCCAAGCACACGCTCATTCGAATACTGAGAAGCCTGCTGGTCAGGCCTGACACACGAACGTCCTGGATTAGTTGTCGTCAACCGATAACCAAGCCGAAGGGTCAGGTACCCTTTTCATTTTCAATTTTCTGTCAGAATTCTCCATAGCTCATATCATATATCCCTAGCGTTGCTCTGTTTCTGTTTCTTCTTTTGCTTTCGGTTAACTGTGTTTATTATCGCACAATGTGCTCAGAAGCGATATATCCCATATTCTAGTGTTAATTAATGCCACATCAATCCAATCATTGATTACTGAACACATTACTATTGACACTAAGCTCTTCTCTGGTTAGAAGCAACAACCCCCTTAACAAAAAGGGGGGGGGGGAAATGACAGAACTCTTCCAACAAGTTCCTACCGTGGCCGAATAACACCACGGATAACGAGGAAAACAATTTTAATATAAGATGTTTGATCTGGACCAAAGCTCTAGATGAGATTTTACCTTTATGCCTATTTATTGAGATGTTCATCTTATTTTCAAAATTGACTAGTAATTTTGTTCTATTCGGTTTAGACTAGAAGTGAAGGACCATAGTGAATTGATGTCTACAGTGGAGTATATAGGAAACCCTGCATATTACAGGTGCGTATGATGAGTTGACCCAAGCAGCTGGAGCGTAACCGACGACCCGGGAGGAAGATGTATCTCAGTCGCGAAAATTATTGAGCAAGCATCAAAAAGACCTGCAGTTCGAATGGCATGGTACATATAACTAGCATGGCATTATTGGTGGAATATCAGTAAGCATTCCAGCAATTAGCTTCGATTCTACAGTAGCAACATTTCGGGCGAAGACAGTAGGTTGTAGATTATACCCGCGATACTGTAATCTCCGGTGAATGCATGCGTCTTTTATCTTTAAGACTTCAATTTGATATCCAATAAAACGATATAATGGCGACACAGAGTGAGTATTGAACAAAAACCAAGCCAAACGATACTACATGCCAGGAAGGTATTCGCCGACATAGATTGCATCGAGGTCTTCAACAATGATGTTGGGAAAACAAGACGAGTAGCCACAGCGTGACAACACAGTGCTTAGTAGCACTAAGTAATATAATGCCTTGAATGAAGATTCTACGTGAACTATGTTCCTGATTCTATCTCTTAGGGTTTTTCGATGTTTCCCGTGGAGTGATGTGCAGATGATGTCATGCCTACAAGTTGCTATTTCTTTGCCTCAGCCTGGAAGATACTTCACATTATAAACCCATTCTAATTGACTTGTTGATGAAAAGTGACTGGGTAAATCTACTACAATGCACCACTTGACTGTCGACCTTCGCGACACCGAAGCCCCAACCCGCGATGCGCCGGGAGATGTGCCTTCTAGCCTTCCGCCTGCAAAGGATAGCAAGCAGCATCCACGCCAGGGAGGTGACGAAAACGCGTCAGTGTACTTCATCGGGACAGCTACAACTATCATGTAGGCTAAAGTTCGATTTGTATTGGTCTTTAAGCTGATAACGAGCAGAGAATGGGAAGGGTTGCGGGTTATGACTGATGTTGGTTCTCTACCAAGACCATGGGGCTAAACATACATGAGTGATGCTGATCAAATAAAGCCAAATTTCCTTCATGCAGGAGACCATGTCCATCTCGGTCCGGGCGTGTCGAGTGCACGCAGAACCAATCCTGCTGTAGACTTGCACGAACTACCACGGGTTGACGTGGTTCTCCTTTCTCATTATCATGGGTACGCCAGTCTCAGTGAACAGCATCTCGCTAGTTCTTTGAAAGTGTGGAGTATACTGGCTTACATCGCGAAGCGATCACTTTGATCAAAAAGTCGAGTCCTCACTTCGTCGCAACCTGCCGATTATCACAACTCCACATGCGAAATCGACATTGACGTCCAAGGGCGAAGACTCATTCACGGAGGTGTATGATCTTGAGCCCTTCCAAGAGGCTATCATAGATATCACAGGAAATACTTCAAAGAAACAAGCCCGCATGAGAGTGACGGGAATGCCCGGGAAGCATGTTCCAACGGGGGTCATTGAGAAACTGAACGATCTAGTGTCTGCTGTATACCTCTCCATCGCTTCCAACCTTTTGCCACAGCACACAGAAGATCAAGATCCTTGAGTATATTTGCCAGGGGCTAATGAAGCAATATAGATTCCCCCAACGAATGGCTGGATGGTTGAGCTAGGCTACAGTGACGGCTCCTCAACTACCGATCTCACGGTCGGATATCGCATTTACATCTCCGGCGACACACTACTGGTAGATGACTTAAAAGAGATTCCCAGGCGCTACGGTGATCAGAAAATCGACTTGATGTTGGCGCATCTTGGTGGAACCACTGTGCCCTCACCGGCATTGGGCCCATTGGCGATGATGGTGACGATGGATGCGAAACAGGGAGTTCAGCTAATGCAGCTGATACGACCTGATGTGACCATTCCAATCCATTATGATGATTATGAAGTGTTCGCCAGTTCGTTGGAGGATTTCAGAAAACAGGTCGAAGAGGCTGGATTGGGCAGTGGGGTGGTCTATCTAGACCGTGGAGAGGAGTATCGGTTTCGCGTGAGAGCTTGATGTTTCATGACTTTCTTGCAATTCCGTAGAAATGAGCTCATGTGTCTGGATTTATTGTTAATTGGCGCGTCCATTTACGTACTTCGCGGAATTGTTGGTAAACTGGCTCGGATCGAAGAACGAGTCGAGTCATATATGATATTAACTCCAATTCTAAACAGCTATGTAGTCGTCGAGTCTAGTCCAAGCTAGTTCTATAATCCATATTCGTATTCATATCCATTATTCATCAGTAATTTTCAAAACTTGACCTTCCATCCCCAGCCACCCGCAACCCCCCTGGCGACCGCGAACGCAACAGCCGAGGCCAGATATAAAACCCCGCCGAAGATGATCAGCCCCCAATACTCGCCTCCATTGCTTTCTTGGATCGCACCCGCAAGGGGAATGCCAATCAATGTGCCAACACTGACAAGCGTGAAAGTGGTCCCATTCCGCTTTCCATAATCCTCGGTGCGGCAGACCTGCGAGATACACACAGGCGTCAAGCTGATCGCTGCCCCACTCCAGAACCCGAACAGTACGGCATATGCAATGATGGCACCTTCATTAGTACCCGCTTTATACCAGAGCGCAAGCGTACAGATTGCGCAGATAACTGCCGTCATAGTCATCACGTTGAATCGGCCCATTCGGTCGGCCAGGATTCCTGGGAACGCTCGTCCCGGGATAGCCCCTGCATTTAGGAACACGGATAGCTTGTATGCCATAGACTGTTCCAATCCGGCGTACAACCCATAAGAAACAATGTACGTGTATGGGATAAAGACAGCAAACTCGACTAGCCAGACGGCCAGTGTGGTCAATGCATATTTCGGCTCCAAGAGGGCTTTCAGGTCGATTGCCATACCGGCCTTCTGGTTGGGGGGTAATCGCGTCTTGAGTAATAAGCAAGCTAGAACACACAAGACGAAGCAGATGATTCCGATGATTCGCATGGCCCAGGCGAAGCCGAGCGTCGGGCCAATGTATAGAATGATTAAAGGGAAGAAGACACCACCAAGACCGCCAGCTGTGCAAGCAATACCGGTTGCAAGGCCGCGACGTACGTCGAACCAGTGGCCGACGGCAGAGATGGCTGGGGTGAACAGGCAGCAAGAAGAGATACCACCAAGAACGCTGAAGGACAAGAATATTTGGTAGTATTCTGATGGAAGATTAGCGAGGCTTCTCTTGCGCTTGGCAGGACCTGACACGTACCAGTACTTGCACTGAAGAAAAAGACGGATAGAACTATACCAATGGATCCTGGTAGCACCACTGGTAGCACTCCTCGACTATCAAAGATAGGCCCTGTAAAATACTCCCATTTAGCACTCTACACCATGCCGTCCGAATATATATGCATTGTTCATACCAACTTGAGCACCTCCGAAATAGAGGAAAAAGCTAAAGGCACCAAAGATCCATCCCAAACTTGAAGACGAATACTGCGCCAGTTGATGATCCGCTGTCCAAGCATGGAGGACTCCGATAGTATTCAACAGACCCATAGATGGCACCATGGCACACCAGGAGCCCAGTACGACGAGCCATGCGCGGAGACCGCCTTCCGGATATTTTGCATCTTGATGGTGTTCACAAGGATCTGGCCTTGTATTTTCAACGACATTTGAGATCGCACTACGAAGTGTTTTCAGGGACTTGCGCCCCGTTACATTCTCAGTGGCATGTTCATTACTGACATGCTGACAGGCATTTAACTCGGTGTCAGCCATTTATCACCAGGCAGGATGCAACAAACGGCACTTAGCAGTCCAATAGGAAGCGAAAGGCGAGGTGAAATAACCGGGTCAGAGCCCGGACTGCAGACACGGAGCCAATTGTGGATTTAAAGGCCTTTAGTTAAGAACAGAGCAGATGTAAAACACTTGGCAGCCCCAAAATACTCAATCTCTAGTGGGGACAGAATTTGACAGAGAAGGGCTCGTCAGGCACACGTGATACCGATGGGCTCCACCTTCCTTGATCTTTGGGGTTTGGAAATTTGGAGATAGGTGTAGAACAGTCAATAATGCATCATGCTTGGGTAGCTTTATGAATTATGTTGTCGCCATGCTTCCACGGAGTGATGCCATGCACCTGTTGGGCTGAAATACATCTTAAATCTTCTCGCAGAAAGAAGCCCACCGAGTAGGGTAGGTCAGTTTATATATTCCTGTTCCTATTGTTGAAGCAGGCCACTGGTAGATACTAATCCTGCAAGGTAAAAATAGATCGTACCATTAGAGATGTAGCAAGCTTAGCATAGCAGCATGTTATACAGTATTACCCACAATGAAAAGAGATGGAGATATATGGAAATACTACCATCGTGTTTCTCGTTTCCTTCACCACCTCAGGCTGAGAGGCAGGTGACGCTAACCACATCCAGAGACAAAAGTACTTGAGTCACTCGCCTGCTGGTTCCATCATTTCTGCGCTAATCTATCTTCGGATTAGACCGCCGGAGTATCTCCGGCGGAAATTACATGTGACCTAGACAGGCGGAGAGCTCCGGCAGAATCCGCCTCGTTGTATCCTTACTAAGTAATACTAGTTACATGCAGATTTACTTCGACCAGTACTTCTACATCACGAAAACCCTTTTTTATCTAGAGCGCATCATGGACATAGATGCTGCAATAGATTTATCTCAGATGCGGTCAAGGTCGCAAAGTCATGATGACCTCGCTCCGAGAGCAACGGCAAACACTATCACCCCTAGACAACCTGGGAGTCGTCGACGGGCAGCCTGCCAGACATGTAGGAAAAGAAAGGTCCGCTGTAACAATGCTAGACCAGCATGTGGTTTTTGCCAACACAATGGTATGAACTGCGTCTACGTTGAGCGTGGAGAACCAACAAAGGAGTATGTACTGTAGAACTCACACCTTTCCATTCAATCTAAACCGACTATGACGGCATTGCTAATGAGAACAGGGACCGGGATCTGGGAGAGGTGATCGAGCGATTAGATAATCTGGCCTATGCAGTCGAGAACATTCACTCGTATCTCTCCTCCACGGGTCAGTTGTTTTCAATGATTTGTTCCTGCCCATACATGGTGTACTGACCGGAGCTCAGGGACCCCGATGTCCAGTGGGCGGTCCACCGCCCCGCAGCAAACGGGAGGACAGTTGGACATTCCAGTGGAAGACACAGAGCCATACAAGGACTATCTACAAATTCCTTCTAGCCGCGGTAGTGCTGACACGGTTCTCACATGGCCGATTTTCCGTGGACGATTTCGCGAAAATGCTTTAATCACGACCTTATTCCAGTCGTCACACGGGGCGGAGAACTCTGCCATCGAGACATGGGTTGTGCCCGATGGGTTCCAACCAACAGATGAGGAGCGTATCCCAGCCCTGGTAGATCAATTCATTCAGAATGTGCACACGAAGAATCCGATATTGGACCTGGAAGCCCTGATTCGTTGGGGCCGGCATGCTGCGGAGTTTGGACTCCGATGGGATGCCCAGTCCTGTCTTGTCCTGCTAGCGTGTGCACTTGGGTGTGTCTCTCAGGCTTTCACACTTTCTATGAAAGGACCTGGCCGAGAAGAAAGAACAACACACGCCTCTGATGAAAAGTCCTCGTTTGCGTCGGGGTTGAAAGAAGGTGAAACATTCTTTGTGATGGCTTGTCGAAGGATTGGCCTTCTACGGTACTCCGTGCTTGGGGCTCAATGCCACTTCTTCGCAGGAGGTATGTAAATTCAGCAAACTGATTTCTTTGTTTTAGTAGATGTTGATCGTTGTCTAGTTTACCTGATGTATACGTTTCGTCCGCTGGCGGCTTGGAATCATTTCTACCAAGCCTCAACCTTTTACCGACTACGGTTAAGAATGATTGATGGTCTGAACATTGACGACGATCTCTCGGCGGACGAAGCGGTACAGCACGGGACCTCGGTGTCGCGACACATGGAACAGAGCTTATATTGGTCTTGTTTCAAATCCGAGGTCGAGATACGAGTCGAGCTCCCATTGCCACAGTCGGCAATTGCCGAGTATGAATACCCAGCGCTGTTCCCAACTCCGCCGAACCTCTCAGAGGACTACCCGGAAGGCGGATCACACGGTGCTGGATGGTCAACGTCTTGGAATTCGTCCCGGCCAACAAGCAGTTACCAGAGTAATCGAGCCCAGACATCATTTGGCGTGCGAAATCACATAATGCAGCTCTTTGATGAAGAACAAAGCTGGTACTACTACCTGACTGAAGTGGCGCTCAGACGGATTGGAAACCGTGTGCTCAATGCCTTCTACCGAAAGGGACAATCTATGTGGTCGGACATCAGGCCTTTCATCCCTCTGGCACTAGAGTTTGAAACACAAATCGATGCATGGTCCGCTAACCTTCCTCCAGGGTTGCGGCACTACAAGGACAATGAAAGCAGTGGTCAAACTAGAAATAGCTTCTCTGAGATGCAGGACTCAATATCGCTCGAACTCAGTTGGGCAATCGCCAACCGATTGTTGGAGATTCGCTTATGGCTTTATCAGCCCTTTTTGTATTTCGTCATCCATCATCCAGTTAACACTGGACAGGAGGCTCGAGGAACTCGAAGCTCATCATTTACTGGCGAGGAGTTATCAACTATCGCTATCCTAGTCCAATCCGGGATGCACTGTGCCCTGAAGATTCTAGAAGCAAGATGTCTGCGCCACCGCCATCATGGGATTTGGTTCGACCTTCGCGCCCTGGTGACAAGCTCTCTAATCGTGATTGCTGCCATAAAAAGCGGTAACCTTGACGTGCCGGGGATCGACAGTCCTATGGAATTAAAGAGCCATTTCGAAGGCACGCTACAAGCGCTTAGTTACTGGGAAGATGAGGCTCCAGATATCAAGAAGGCTCGCTGTATCTTGGCCGGGTTGCTTACGGAGATGGGATAATCATCATCACGGTGAATGTGCAGCCAATTGCGCCATCTTCATGCATATCTTAAATGCCTGATGATTTTTGGAATTCCCGAACTTATCATATGGAGTATATACATTATTCACATGAGCTCATCAATGGCCGATCATGGCTGGTATCCGTTCTCTCGGCAGGCCTCTCAGACAGAAAATTGTTCGGTTGTAGCTTTATCCTAGTCCTCAATCGCCTTGGCCTTCTCTGTGTCTGAGAGACCACGGGCTCGGGTTGCTTGCGTCAGCTCAGGGTTATTTTCCACCAGAGTCTGGAAGTTTCGCTCGGCATCCCACACCCAAAGGCTGTCGGCTGCGAACAGCAGATCTATTTGTTCCAACGTGCGCTGGTTTGACTCGGGGTATAAAGCCCACACCATCGGGATCGTAATAACATTGGCGATCCCGAAAATATATAGGGTCTTCTCGCCGATAGAATCAAACATAATGGGGCAGAGGAGGGTCTAAAAAGGTTGCAAAATTAGTGCCCGAACAGGCGTCAACTATCGGTCAGCACATACCAGCCAGCCATTTCCAATACTCCATCCCACTACACCCCATGCATTTCCTTTGGCACGAACCGAGAGTGGGAAGATTTCTGCAGGATACAGCCACGGAACGGCTGCAACAATGTGATTAGTATCTTGAGATGCTCGCCATACAGAAGTGTGAATGAGCGTGTTCACTTACTGAGCCATGTCGCTCCAAATACAGAAGTAAAAATAAAGACCATAGAGGCTGCAGCAGCACCATAGGATGAAGCCTTGCTGGTATCTCCTGCAGCGTTTGCCTGCTTACAGAGATATGAGAAGCCTCCAGCAAGGAACATTGCAATACCCTGTCCGACGGAGCCCCAGTACAAGGTCCAGCGACGGCCAATCCGGTCCAAGGTAAAGACACAGACTAAAGTTGAGAACTGCGAGTGACATGAGTAAATGGCTATCAACAATGTTTCCCCAAACAGTTCTTACCATGTAGAAGACATTGTTCAGACCGCTCACCCACTGGCTTTTCTCGGTGTCAAAGCCAGCCATTCGGAAGATGACAGGGGCATCTGCTTACAGTCAGTCTCTTCTCATTATTGCTCCACGTTGCAGGCATTCTGGTCCTAGCTATGCTAGCATCATATGAGGCCACTCACAAACTGTTACTCCAGCAATCCCCACCCATTCCTGCATGATTTGCAACCATACAACCAGCTGCACCCGGCGACCGATGTGAAGGTTGCCCGAACCCCTCCCGGTGATCATGGAGAAGTATGAGGTGCTGTACTTCTGAGCCTTTTCAAGTTCAGCCACGTTGCAGATATCCCGGAATTCAGCCTCCGCCTTGTCCCCATCCTCGGGGCCTGTTCCACGCAATCGACCGAGAATGTAGCGTGCTTCCTCCTCGCGACCAACCTTGACCAACCATCTCGGAGACTCGGGGAAGAACCAGACGAGGCCGAGCAATAGGAATAGGAGAATGATTTGGAATGCAATGGGAAATCGCCAACGTATGGCCGAACGTCCTTCGTCGATGAAAGAAAGGCCGCTAGGGGATGGTATTAGCACGAAGTCGGTCCGATATGCTGTAAGGGACCTGTAGTCAGACGACTTACAATTCTAACCAATACGCAACCACGACACCGAAGATGTTCAATGTGAATTCGATTGCGATGAATTGACCCCGAGATGTGTGCTCGGCTGTTTCTGTTGCCCACACAGGAACAATTGCATTTAAAACGCCAGTGCCAATTCCATTAATCAACCGAGCTAATCATCATCGTGTTTCATCAGTTCTGCCAAGCAAGAAATACTATGTCCAAGATTACCATAGGC